GTGACTCCATAGCCGATTGGCGCGGTGGAGCGGCTTCGCGGTGGCGGATGGGGGTAGTTGTGGTTAACACGTCGCTCGACGCAGCCGGGGAGGGCGGCGGAGCGGTGCGTGTTAACGGTCGAGAAGTGGGGGGTGGCCGCATTGTGCTACGGCGGCGCGTCCGGTCCTCTGTAGGGACCATGGGCGCGGCCGGTCGGCTGGATGTTTCGGTTTTTCGCGGTTGGGGTGCCTCGCGCTCAACGCGGGCGAACGCGGGAGGCGCTCGAGCCCGCGGAGCGCGAGAGACATTTACGCCTTGCGGTGAAGGCGAGTTGTTACTACTGCCCTCTGAGGGCGTGGTGGTTTGTTTCGGCATGGCTGGCGCTCGGGGAGCGCACGGCCAGCCCTTGGTTACAACGGTGTCGCTGTGGTAATGGTGGCGTTGCAGGTGCGAACAAGCGCAGCAGATTCGGCGCTGAAAACCAACCCCGAAGGGTTGGGATGTGGTCGACCCACAATTAAATCAGCACTGTTGCGCTTGTTTGCCACTGCAATGTGAGGCGAACGTCGGCCACGAACACTCGGCTAAAGGCCGGGAAGCGTAGGACAGGTTCCGTGTGGCGAGTAAACGATCTTCGTAGGCCTTCTGCTATCCTCGGCGGGGCTTCGGAAGTCTTCGGGCGCTGCGGAGATGTTCACTCGTCGACGTCCAGGCGAATCCACTGAAGTCTTGGAGCGCTTACACTCTAATTTATTGCTCGTTACGGTAGACAATTTCTACGTACTAAAATGTATGGACGTTTTTCGCTAAAAAATGAATAATGTTTAAGCTTATATTATAGCTTTTTGGTCGGAATTAGAAAAAAAAATTGAAACGGCGAATGTACTGTCTATACTTTTATCTTGCGATTAAAAAAATATTATGTTCAAATAGAACAACGAAATAGCAGAAATATTGTAAAACAGGAAAGGTCGATTTCGATGATTTTGATCAATGTTGAGCATTTTTTTTCTCGAAAGTGAAGAATTATTTTATAAGTTTCACGTGGTAAAAATGTGGACGGATCTATTAAGCAACTGAGATTTTTTACTAGTGTCATTTAATGAAGTAAGTTCTATTTTTTTGTTATATTGTGCAATAATGATTTGATCTTTCTGTTCTTTGCTTTGATTCTTGCCCATGGTAATAATCATTACCAACTCTCGCTTTAAATACAATTGTACATTATATATATCATCAAAATAAAATCAATAGTTCAAAGTACTTTAACCTAATAATCAGAACACACATATGCAAAAATTTCTCGAGACTAATTTCACTGTACTTTGGTTGTACTGCAAACTGCATGAAGATGGTTGTTAATTGTATGAAGCAATACAATAGTGTTATGATTGTATTACTTTATAATATCATAAATCCTCTTCATCCTAAAATTATAATATAGATTTAGATTATATTGTGCTAAATTCTAAAGTTTACAATAATTAATGAAAGTCCGGAATTGATAAAAGTTATTTTCAATAAAGTTTTATTATATTCTGTAACACAATTAAAACAACCAGTCAGTTAGTTAAATCATTAGTTAAACCATTAGTTAAACAACCATTAGTTAAATCATTTATTTCTTAAAATCCTCATTTTCCTTTCCATGGCTTTTCTTATCTCGTCTTCTTCCAATTCTCTGTTTTTTAATATAACAAATCTTTTAGTACATATGTAAAATGTGCTGGTTTTAAAATGATTTATATTTGATTCTAAATGATTCATACATTTATTTAAACAAGAAAAATCAACACAATCTAAACCAGCCATTATATTTTGTTTTATTTGATTTTTCAAATAATTATTTATAATTGTAGCCATTGTTTCGACACATACGACCACATTTTTATTTACGTAACTTAAGAAGTTATTACTTATGTCATATTCTTTGAAACTTGTGAATGTGTGAATGGTTTCATGAGTTTTTGCCGAAATTGCGTTTTGACAATTTGGACAGTCATTGTGCCTTAGTTTTTTGAAAATAAAACCACACAGATATCCACACTTGACTTTCAGGCGTCACCTGTTCGACTGTCTCAACAGCATCAGCTAATAAGGTGTCCATCTCATTTGAATCAAATTCAGCAGTTTCAAAATTATTATACGGTATGTCTGCAGTTAAAAAACTTGATAAATTATTGGACAAAATTGCGGAGTCATCTTCACAATTCTTTTTTTGTCCAGAGTGTCAAATTGCTGAATTGTGGGATTATTATTTGATCCACAATTATACCTGATGCAGCCGAAACAATTTTCTAAAGGATCCTGATTGAGGCGACGGGTCGAAAGACTCTTAATGTTTATTGCCTTCAAATTTTTCCACAGCCTTTCAATGGCATTCATCGTGTGAATCCATCCTTCTTGGGACGGAGGATTTGATTTACTTCCCAGGTATTTCATGGATGAAATAAACTTTCTCATCTCTCCGAAGAACGCTATATGAGGGCTCCGTGCAGTTAGGTTTGTGGAATACTTTTTTCCTCTACGTAGGTCCGGGCTGTCAGCATTAACGGCATCAAACAGCTTGTAAAAATTTTGGACAAAAGTAAAAAAAATATAATATTAAATAATTAATAATATGTATCCATGTGCAGAGCCGCTTTGATGGGCATTTGTTTAGTAATATGTGTCAAAGAGGCACATGGATTGTTTTTTTATACACTGGGGTATGTAGATACCAATCGGGAATTCGGGACTATTGCTATCTCGCTTGCTCTAACAATATAACCCGTGGATAAGCCGCCACCGTGCTGCTGTCGTCGCCGCGCCGCCGGCCGCGGCGCTTCCTCAAGAAAACGAATTTAACCGAGATCAGCACGAACATTACCGACCGCTGTTACCGAAGCATGCACGCGATAAGCGCACTAAAGAGCGCGCGCGCGAGATTCAAATTACTTTTCGAACATATTTTTTTTGGTTTTATTATATTGGCGGGCCACCAGTATTCAACCGGCGGGCCGCATGCGGCCCTCGGGCCGCGGTCTGTGCATCTCTGCATTAAAGGATATTGCAGGGGATCGTAAGCGCGGTGCAATTCGGACACTCTTTTTAGCTGGCCATCTTTACAATGTAGTACTATACTCGTATCACGGGGTCCTTTGTCTTCATCTACTAACAGTACTGCGACTTCGTTTGTTGTAGGGGAGTTGTATTATAAAGAAAGATTATAGTATAAAGAAAGTTGGTCCGCATCAGAAATGAAATATATCTGTTAAAATTTCGAGATTTGACCTGTTGAAGGAAGAAGACTACCAATTAAATGATAAACCTCTATCTTAAAAGTAGGCATAAAATTGCCTTCACGAATTTCTTTAGCACCGAACGATGTCATTTGAAATAGTGTGTTATACTTCCGTATATTGTTTAAAAAATGCGTAGAGTGTCGATGAGCATTTGTCAAGAGACTTTTTACATGCTCTTCAATGTTAGGAAGAATCACTTTACCTGCAGCACAACACATACCATTCGGTTCATCGCTCCATTTTTTTGCAAAACACTTAGGATAGCTCCAATTGTTACTGCGCTCTGCTTAGCGTAATCGACGTTAGGATCATAATTGAAAGCTGATCTATTACTGTGTGGTGCACTTCGACTGCATATTCTAGATGTTCGTTGTCTTTGTGCCGCAGCAGTGAGCCTTTGCGAACGTTCAGTGCTAGACTCCCTAGCATGACTGCACGGATGGCGTAGTGGTTTAAGCGGTCGCCACGCCGCTTCCTACTACGCCGAGTGTTGTGGGTTCAAACCCCACCTGGGACGACACTTTGTGTGATCCACAAAATGTTGTTCTGAGTCTGGGTGTTCTTTGTGTCCGTTTCATGTATGTTTGTAAAATCCCCCGCGACATAGGATTTATTCCTAATGCGGGAGTTGTCTTTAAAAAAAAAAAACCGCCATATGTCTATTGTTAGCAAGTCGCTGAGATCTTTCGGCGCTGGTCTCCCTAGCATGACTTTCGGAAGTAATTGCTCGTTGGCTGGCAAGCCTCTGAGAACGCTCGATACTGGATTCCCTATGACGAATTTCTGAAATATTCTGTCTAAGATTAGCCAGTCGCTGAGATCTTTCAGCGCTGGTCTCCCTAGCACAAGTTTCAGAGGTAATTTTTCTTTTGCTGGCAAGCCGTTAGGAACGCTCTATGCTCGACTCCCTATCACGTGTTTCTGACATATATTGTCTATAGTAAGCCAGTCGCTGAGACCTTTCGGTGCTAGCCTCTCTAGCACGCGCTCGCGATCTGTATTCTGTCTCATTCGCAAGGCGCTGTTCATGCTCAGAGGAAGTCTCTCCAAGTCTGCGTACTGTAGCCGCTCGTGTCTGGGATGTATGTCTAGACAGTTGAGATTTTCTTTTAGGCATATTGACAGTTATGTTTTCAAAAAAACATTTAAAAAAATGGAACAGTTGTTCTAAATAGTTTTTTTTATTATGGAAATAAAGCAAATAAGCAAGATGAACATAACCTAAATGCAAAAAAATAAATACCTATAACCTAAATTAAATAAAAACTATAAACAGAAAACAGTTCTGAAAAGAAATTATTTTTTTAGAATGTACAGAAAATAACGACTTTTAATTTTTAATGAAAGAATAAGGTAGATATAGTGCTGATAAAAACTTTTTATTTAAACAATGTCTAATTGTGTGCTAATTACGTTTCGAAAAATTCAATTTCGGGGACGTCCGCTGCGTAAGGAGCCGACCACGCGACTGAGCCGCGCGGGTACCTACCTCAGATGTAGAAGGCCACGCCCCCTTCTCCCGAAGCGAACGCGAACCGAATTAAACCCGAAGCCATCGCGCGCCGTCCGCTGCTTTGGCCTTCACACTTAAGACGATGAGTTTACTTATTTTCATAAAAATTCATAATTTTTGGTAATATGACTAATAAATATGACCTAACGATTTAAATTATTTTATTAATATTAAAAATTAAATTATCTATACTAATATTAAAAAAACTACTTTTTGTAACTTAAATATAAAAGTTAGACATATGCTGTCGTTGACTTTTTTCAAGCTCCACATCTTTTCTCTAGAACTCAAAAATATATCTTTCATAGTTCAGGGCAGCGTTCGTAAGAAACGCTTTCATTCGATCGTTTTTTCTCCGATTCACTTTGCAAAACGGACTACCACGTAAAAGCCTTTTTATTTTTCGTTTTTTTTATATAACCTATGACACTCAGCAATAATGTGGCTTTCTATTGGTGAAAGAATTTTTAAAATCGGTTCAGTAGATCCCGAGATTACCCCTTACAATTTAACAAATATACAAACACCAATCTACGAAGTCAGCCATGACAGTCACGTGATTTCATTTTTCCATAGGGGGATGGAGTTACTCACGTCCGTAGGAACCTACCACCTTTCCTAGGCCCACCCTACACGTGTCCCCCGGGTGGTGCAAAACGAGTAACAACGCCGAGTCTCAGGCGGCGGTAAAGTATCCTGAACAATATGAGCTAACAACTCATACTAAGCTGATAGAAGGAAATGTCTATCAGCGGTCGTTAATTCGTTGTCAAGTCTAGCGAAAACGATGACCTTGGCTTAATTGCCTGGGTCGTGAGGAAATAACCTCTTCATAAATTCCTAATCCTACGGTGTGACCGTGCCCAAAGGATGAATGGCTGGTGGGAGACCAGTCTCAAGCGCAAACCTCGGAGTATCGGGCAATCTCCGTTGTACAAGAGCCTTCTTATGGGAATGGGCGTTACCCTGTAAGTGACCTAAGAAATTCGACCCTACTCGTGGGAACAACATGGCAAATGTAAATACCAATAATAAAAATTCACCTAAAATCTTAACCCAACAAATATTTCACAAAGGCCTCTTCACAAATGAACCAAGATCAAACTCTTGTGGAAAGTCACCTGTAAAAGACACTAGTGAGCCAATTGATTTGGACAAGGAAGAAACACAATGCAATACCGCTGCAGAGCCCTGGGAAGATGTCGCAGGACGAAAAAGACAGCACAGCCCAGAACAACGTTTGATAAGCCAAAACAAGCAAAACTCAATAGCTACTGGTTGAGTGCACCTGTTTCAAATTCCAACAGATTTACCGGCTTTGAAGATGAAAGCTCTGAGAGAGTAGAGAAGCCTCATAAGCCTCCGCCAATATTTGTTGATAAAGTCAGTAACATCCAGCCATTAATTAATATGCTTGAAGTTACAATACCAGGAAATTTTGAAATTAAAGTACTACAGTCTGAGCGAGTTAAAATTCAGGCAAACACTGCTGAGTCTTACAAAATTATGTTGAAAAAAAGGAACACTGAATTCTTCACCTACCAACCCAAAGACGAACGTAGCTTTAGAGTAGTCCTAAAACATATGCATCCTTCTACTGATTTAGAAGAAATCAAATTGGCACTTGAAGATCTCCAGCATGAAGTAAGGAACATCTGGAACATCAAATATGGACAAACGAAAAAGCCGCTCAGCATGTTCTTTATCGACCTAAAACCGCAGGCTAATAATAAAGATATTTATACATTGAATAGCATACTCAATTGTAGAGTTACCTTTGAGGCTCCTAGACCCAAACGAGACATCCCACAATGCTCTACTTGTCAGCAATATGGAAACACCAAAAAATTTTGCCATAGACAACCAAAGTGCGTTAAATGTGCAGGTTATCATCGCACATCTGACTGCTCCAGGAAGGAACGTTTCGATAAGGTGAAGTGCATCCTCTGTGACGGTAACCATCCTGCGAATTACAAAGGTTGTAAAGTCTACAAGGAGCTACAGAAAATGAAATACCCAGCCCCACCTCCAAAGAAACCCTTAAAGTCACCCCTAAATTCAAAAATAACTCGGCCAACTGGAGCAACTAACCCAACAGATAGCGAAATAGTACAAAACAACTTACCAACAAAAGACAACACAGACACACAAACAACGGAATCTTTCTTGCTAAAGTTAAATGTAACAATGCAAGCTGTTATGAATCAGATGTCAAAACTGCTAACAGAACTCACGTCAAAATTGACTTCACATTCCAACCACTAAATATATGTGTGTGGAATGCAAATGGCCTGTCAAATCACTCTGAGGAGTTAAAATTATTCCTAAAAATAAAAAAAATAGATGTAATGCTAATTTCAGAAACCCACTTTACAAGCAAAAGCTATTTCAAAATACAAGGGTACTCCCTGTACCACACTATGCACCCAGATGGCAAAGCCCACGGTGGCGCTGCAATCCTGATAAAGGCAAATATCAAGCATCATGAGTCCTCACCCTACTCAAAGGAATATCTGCAAGCATCATCCATCGTGGTATCCGATTCAATCAAAAAAATAACTTTGTCAGCCGTCTACTGTCCACCAAGACACACCATCAAAAATACTGAGTTTGCTGATTATTTCCGTTTTTTGGGGCCGAGATTTGTCGCTGGAGGCGATTACAACGCCAAACACACGTACTGGGGTTCAAGGCTGATACTACCTTGCGGTCGTGAACTACTTAGATGCGTCCAAATGGACAACATGTATGTTCTCTCATCAGGCCATCCCACATACTGGCCAACAGATCCCAAGAAAATACCAGATGTCATCGACTTTTGCGTAATTAAGGGAATAGCCAAAAATTATCTGTCCTGCCAAAGCTGTTTGGACTTATCATCGGATCACTCACCAATTATTATTAACCTTTCTACCACCTTAACAGCGGAGGAACCTAGGTGCAATTTACACAATCGTAGAACAAACTGGTCACTATTTCGGCACTTAATTGATACAGCATTGGTTGAACCAGCTAGACTAAAGACTGAGGATGACATAATTTATGCAGTCGAACATTTTACAAGGTCTCTGCAAGATGCTGCTTGGGATTCCACACCATTGGCAGGAAAAACTGGGGAAGATTTGCCCATAGCCCATCACCTTCTAGAGTTGGTAGCACAAAAGAGAAGACTGAGGAAACGGTGGCAACTATCACAATGCCCACAAGCGAAAAAGCTGTTTAATGATGCCATCAGGAAACTCAAGAATGCAACCACTCGAGATCGTAATTTGGCCTTTCAATTGCATCTGAGCGGTCTGGATGCCTCCGCATCATCAGACTACTCGCTGTTGAAAACTACTAAGAAAATTAGAAGACCTACTAATGTCTCCCCAGCCTTGCGTGCACAGGACGGGAGATGGGCTCGTACTGATGCCGAAAAAGCAAACACTTTCTCTGTCCACCTACAATCCGTTTTCAAACCCCATCCAAATGAAGGTACACCCGAACATGAAAGAGAGGTATCTAACTACTTGGCGGAGGAAGATTCAAGCGCAGAAATAGTTGACGACATGCCCAATTTCAATAAAAATGAAGTGGTACGGGCTATAAAAAAGATTGACTCAAAGAAGGCCCCCGGTTTCGACCTCATCACTAGTAGGCTGCTGGCCGAACTGCCAGACTCTGGAATGGCTATGCTCACGTCCATTTATAACAGCATGACGAGACTCAGATTTTTCCCTCCACAGTGGAAAGTAGCCAAAATAATAATGATCCCTAAGCCCGACAAGGCTCTGGAAGATCCTAAATCCTACAGACCTATCAGTCTACTACCGATTCCTTCGAAAGTTTACGAGTCGCTCCTATTAACTCGCATGTTACCAATAATTAAAACAAAACATCTGGTTCCAGACCATCAGTTTGGATTCCGTCATAAGCATGCTACTATCGAACAAATTCACAGACTTACAGTCGAAATACATAAAGCGTATGAAGCCAAAAAATACTGTACAGCCGTCTTTTTGGACATCTCGCAGGCCTTCGATCGGGTCTGGCACCAGGGTTTGCTTTACAAAATTAAAAAATCCATGCCCCATCACCTGTTTTGTATGATCAAAGCTTTCATAACTAATCGTCACTTTATGGTTCAGTGTGGAAACGAGATGACAAGCCTTTGCCCCATCCTAGCGGGGGTTCCACAGGGAAGTGTAATTGGTCCGATCCTCTACCTGCTCTACACCTCGGATTTACCCACCAGTGAAAAAATTACAACAGGTACTTTTGCTGACGACACAGCCATTTTGGCCACCCATAGTCAGCCAGAAATCGCAGCCAAACTACTACAAGAAGGTTTGAATAACATAGCCGACTGGCTAAAAAGGTGGCGGATCAAAGCTAATGAAAGCAAGTCGGTCAACGTTACTTTCACCCTGCGAAGAGAGCACTGTCCACCAGTGACGCTGAATGACGTAGAAGTCCCTCGGGCAGATCACGTGCGGTATCTTGGACTGTACCTCGATAAACGTCTTACCTGGAAGAAACACATTCTTACCAAGAGAAAACAGCTTGGTCTACAGCTGAGAAAACTTTACTGGCTCATTGGTTGTAAATCCCAGTTATCAAGGGAAAACAAACTTCTAGTATATAAAGCCATCCTTAAACCTGTGTGGACGTACGGCATACAACTATGGGGAACAGCCTCACACTCCAACATAGAGATCTTACAACGTTTTCAAAACAAAATGCTGCGCATTGTTACCGGTGCCCCATGGTTTGTGACTAACGAACAACTGCACAACGATCTGAAGATGCCTACAATCAGGGAGGAAATAACTAGACACACTAAGGCATACAGGGACAGAATATCAAACCACCCAAATATATTGGCCCAACCGCTTATGGACAACAGTTTGAAAATCCGTAGGCTAAAGCTCAGAATCCCCCAGGATGTGCTGTGATAAGAGCACATTATAACTAGAACGGGGTACGGCATTGGCCGCATCCCTGCACACGACTTCCAATTTATGCCCAATCTATCGCTTAATGTAATAATAATAATAATGTGCGGCGGTGATACGGCGTATGTGTGCGTCCAGGTTCTCAATCTTAAGGTACCTCTGGATGACGTCGTTTCTCACGTAGCAATGAGCTTGCGCCACGTCGCGCAGTGCCAGCGATTGTTGTTTGCGCAACAGGTGGCGGCTCGATTCGCTCGTGAGGGCGAACCACAATGGGGCGGCGTAGGTGAGCTGGGTGCGTACATATTGTTTATACACACCCAGTTTGGCTCGCAGAGGGAGGCGGGATGAGAACACTGGACTTAGTACGGCACGGACGTGTGACTCCATAGTGAGACGGCGGATAGTGATGCCCAGATACCTAACTCTGCTCCTCCACGGGATGGGTTTGTCCTGTAGTTGGAGTAGTGGTGGGAGTTTCCGGGTCGAGGTGAAGACTATCAGACAAATCAGGCAGAAATCAGACAGCCAGGGGGGCAGGAGGTCTGAAGGTGTCCCGCCTGTAGAAGCGCGTACACTTCGGTGACGTCTGGCTTGTCTCCTGGGGGTCTGTATGCGGCGTACAGCCGTAGCTGCGCGCCGCCCATGTGTAGCTCGACTCCTAGCGTGGATATGGAGCTGTAGGCTTCTTGTGGTAGCAGTTCGTGTACGACTCTTCTTTTTACGAGTACTGCCAGACCACGATAGGCTGTGTTGTTGTCCGATCTCTCGTCCCTCCGATAAAAGAGGTGTCCCGGGAATTTCGGTTTGTCTGCAGGTCTCAGGAGCGTCTCGCTTATGAGCTCCACGTCGATGTCCTGTTCCTGCAGTAGAGGGCGAAGTAGCACCACCTTTTTTGTTAGGCCGCGGGATTTCGAGTGTACCACCCTGTGGCGATGGGGCGCGCGGGGGATAGTGGGGGGGTATCTTCCTGTGAGCCCGCAGAGTGAAGAGACACGTTTAAGGAGGAGGGGCACAGTGACCTGGGGGCAGGGGATTCCATAGCCGCGTGTCGCGGTGAGGCGGCTCCTTTGTGGCGCGCTGGTGTGCGGCGCTGAGCAGTCGCTGGAGGCCGAGCGTGAGGGCGGTTTGTGCCTCTTGCTGAAGGTGGTAGTTTGCCCCCTGTGGGGCTGGTGCTTTGTTCCGGCATGGCTGGCGTTTCTAGTAGTAGGGGCACGATGGGAGGGGCGCGCACTTCTCGTGCATGATAACGGCGTGTGCGAGTACCGGTGCCTTATAAGCTTATAATTTATCATCTCAATCAAGTATTAATAATGTGTTGATTGTTGTTTCGTTTCAAGATCATACACATATATCCAAGATTCATAATCTGTGTAGATATTATAGACAGCTTTTGACTGATTGTACTTTTGTAACATTTTTTTACACCAATCGACACGAGCCTGTTTTTGGTCAATTCTCAAGTTGTGCGTAATCCAACGTGAATAAAAATTTTTACAGCTAAATGATCGTGTAATAATTTATATAAATATACTAGTCATACTTATTCCCAGAGACGCCTCTATCTAGCGATATGTAACATGACGATCTTGCATTATAAGTTCCCGCACAGCATCAATATTTTGAGACCGATTATTGTATAAGTTTCATCTATGCGCGACAAAAAGATAGAGTTTGATTGTTTATTGTTGATATTTGTGTTACGAATTGCATGATTTATTCTATTTGTACTGGACATAAAATTTTCATTGAAGGTGTTATCGCCAGTGGATTTGTAACAATTGCGTCCCCATTGGCTAGCTTAGTAACATAGTTGCTAGCTTTTGTAAAGGTAGTCTCACTCTTGATAACTGACCAAGTAACTCAACGTATATTCGCACTGTTTGTTACATATTTCGAATTTTTGAGCCTTTTAGTAGCAAATATGCATTTTTAAACAACTTGTTATACGTTAAGTACTTAACTTCATCCTTTTTACACTTGGTCGAGTAGTATTTGAAGCGTAGTTGCCTTTTATAAACACAAATCCTGCGCAAACCCTTTGTCAACCAATTATTTTTCCTAGATAGGTTTATCTTTATTCTATTTATTGGAAAGCAAAAATAAAAAATGAGACAAAAGAAATCATAAAATTCGTTAAAAGACATATTTAAATCAGTTTGGTTGTACCGGTTCAAAATCATCAAGGACTGACCAATCATAATCCAGGACGGTTAGCACCTCTGGTTGTCTTTTTATAATAAATGAATTTTGTACCTATTCATCAATATGATTTTTAGGAAAGTAATCAGACAAAGATTTCAGGAGATTTACCAAATGTTCAGTTTTAATAGTTTTAGTTTTCATTTGGTAATTCCAAGACCTTTCCAAAAGTTTCGGCTAGATATGCTAATTTAATGAGCCATTGTTCATAATGCAAAACACAAAAAATATTAGGGGCCTCAGACTTCATTTGCTTCATTGCGAAAATCTCTAGCTGTCATGAAATTCAAATAACCTTGCTAGACGTTGCCTCTTGAAAGCCATCGGATTTCGGTATGCAAGAGGAGTGCTTCGTATCGACTACCCATTTTTTGCACACCTTTTAATACAATTTTGACTGGCGTTTTATGTACTTGACAGCTACATCAAGATCTTAACAGCTACATCAAGAACTTTTTCAAAATCAGTTGACATTTTTTAACTGCAAGGACCCATAACGCCCATAACGATGCAAAATGCAGTGACTGCTTTCAGATCCTGGTGCAATAATTTTTATTTTTGATACTGTTAGATATCTACACAGACACAAGGGCAAGGGCAAGTGATACGATCGCCGGTTCGCTATGCACTGGTTTATTCTAGAAATATTACTATGGCACCAAATGAAATAAATCCTGATTCCCTCAGTCTCTCTCCTCATTTTCCCAAAAATCGTTTGAATCTCTTAATTCTGGCCTTTGACAAGTGTGTAACAAGTACAATGCTTGTTTGACCCTCTCTAGTTCTTTCCCTTCTAGTTGTGTTTTGCTTATAAGTGTTTGCACAACAGATATTAAATGGTTCTGTATAGAAACTGATGATGATGGAAACTCAATAAAAATTGTAGGGTCTATCACATTAATGAGATTGAAGACTGATGAGTTGGCTTTTTCCTTCTCTGCCTGAATTTTGTTGTTCTTTCCCCTAAAGCTTCTATTGGATCTTTTGCAGTATCTAAATATACAGTTTGGAGTCTCAATAGAATCCACTGTTAAACAGCCATGCTCTTTAGAATAAGTCATTTCCTCATTGATGGAATCGCAAAAGAGATTGTCTGGATTTATTATTTTGTAAATATATTTCTTTTCTTCATCGGTACTTATCAGTCTTTTCTTCATGGATATTTCATTGAGGTGGCAATTACAACAATTCCATAGTTTCTCACCTCCGTCCTCAATTAGTTGCACCTTCAAGGAAACATTCTCCGCAGGTTTGTGGCGTATTCTTTCAGCCTCCACACTCGTTTGCAGGCTGCCACACCTATACGCAGTGTAGCTGTTGCCCCTAGATGATTGATTACAGGGGTCTGAAGTAATGTGGCAGTTCCTTTTGCAATTGCGTATAGGTCATCATAGGGCTTTTTCCCTTGTGGTCTTATACTCGGGACTTCGGTCCCATATTGTGATACAAATTTTCCATCTATATACCATGAGGTGTATTCTGCTATTCCTTCAGGCAAGAAAAATGTTTTGTCAGGACTCAGGTTAATTCCTATTAACGACAAGTTCTGCTTGTTCTGGATAACGCACTTTATGTTATTTTCTACTTTTATCTTGTTTCTTTGCATGTTGTAATTCATTGGCAAAAGTCCAACAGTAGTGCTTGCAGCATTTAGCATTCCTATTAACATCCCGGACTAGATTGGAAGTAAAAAACGTCTTCTACAATTCTCTGTGCTAAGACGCCAGGGCATACGTATGTGCCATAATCCACAGCATTCGCATTAAGGGGGCCAAAGAAGCCAATGATATTGTTGGCCGCGACATTGGGCGGCTTATTAAATACAAACTCGCAGTCCGTTGATCCTGGTATGGACGTATTCCCAAAACCGGATAAATATTGCTCAAAGAGCTTGGTGACTGGATAAGGTTCACAATTAAACTGCATTAATAAATCGGATTCTGCGTTAGTTAATATGTTTCCGTTCTGCCTATGGATTTCAAGCATCCTTATATGGGTAATCATGCCCATGTAATAACTGTGCATCGATTCAGAGATATTCTTTCCGTAAGTGTGAGAACGTGCACAAACAGACTTAAAGTCTTCCTCTACGATGCGGGCAAAACCATAATGGCCGGGGTGGACTTCGTTGTTAATCGGAGCTTTTCTCATCTCCGTCCCGAGCTCATTCATAAAACTTTCAAGATAAAGAGGATCATTGGTTAAAGGTGATGTAGTTTTTGACAAATGTTTTGGAGCGGGTACAGGTGGCAACTCAGCCACTTCAGGGGCCGCAGGTGTAGCAGCCTGCTGAGGGCGTGGTCCTCCTCTGTTACTATTGTTTCTGCCTCTGAAATTCCCACGTACGGGCGCTTCCAGATTAGGCCGTGGATGGCGGTTAAACCCTCCAACGCCCCACTGTGCTCCGCCTCTGCCACCGTGGTAGTTTGGGCGATATTGTTGTTGGTATTCGTTATCATATCCAAAGTTGTTTCCGTAATAATTCGACATTGTAATAAATTGCCTCTCCGAGGTCTTACAAAATTACTAGCGTAGTACGCGTGAGCGAACAAAGTTTAGATAAGTAAAAGGGGAATATTGAATTTTAGATTGGAAGTATCTCCTATCCTCAGTGATTTTACCACTCCCTTGTCATGGTGTTCATGGATGCGGAGTGCTCATCTACCCACTCAAGTCTTGTATAATTGATTCCATTGTTAGCCAGGAGCCCTGAACCTATTTGAATAGTTTTCCAGGCTTGAAATAAGTGGCCAAATTTGCATATTTGACTGAATATTTTGCCTTCTTTCGAAGTAGGGTCAACATTTACACTGAATCTTGAAGAGTTCTCAAAAAAGTAATAATGCATAAGATAAAACACTGCTGGGGACAAGCACTCGTTCCATTTGGTAGCATCTTCAGTTCCTTGAGATACGTGTGTAGCTAGGTCAGTGTCTAGTGAAGTTATTTCCATATTGGATGTTATTTTAGCCTTCTTTTCTTCACCTCCTATAGAAATAGTAGACCCTGGCAAATCCTTTGACAATTCTAAATGAAAAGCCTCAAAACGGTCTAATCAACATAGTTGCCGAAGCAATTGCTCTTCTGTCCTTTTTGCCCCTCTCTTTGTGTTTTATATATGAGGCAAAACTGCAAACCAGTTTTCTCATAATTTTTCTTACGTTGTCCTTACCGTTGATTTCTTTTTTAACCATTTTGAAAATTGTTTTCTTTATAGTTACTCTTTACTTGGTTTCCGGGTCCAATATTCTGATTTCCGTCTCACATGATTCGCATTGGATCAATCTAATCCTATCCTTTTCAAAGCACTCAATTATTGCTTGTATCCAGTCAAGCAAACTAAAACAGTCTCTTCTAGTGTTGTCACTGAGGAAATCAAAAGCAGTTTTATAAGCCTGTGCAGCTGTTACACTTTGTTCCCTGAAAGGGCAAAATGTTTGCCTGCCTTGAGTAAGTATGTCTGAGCTCTGATTCAGAAGTTTGTCCATGACCCTCCTAACCACCGAATCCATTTGTGTGTGATGTGAAACCAACACAGATTGACTCATTTGTCTCAATACCGAGGTAATATAGTTGGCATGAAACTTGTCATGAACAAAGGGTCCATCTCTCTTTTCCCATTGGAGTCGTTCTACTTCTACATCACCTATAGTTATGGTTCTCGGGGTGTTAACCTTTCTGTTGTACTCCAATGATCTTTTTACAGTTTCTGCAACTTTCGGAGCTTGGCTTCCATATCCATGTGATGGGGTTCCAGTGTAGATATATAGGGCACTAACAGAAGACAAGTTGTTTGTTAGCTCACTGTCGAATACTCTTTTATGTGAATCATTCCCATCCAAGGTGCCCTTGTCATCTGGTAATAAGGTTTCCATAAGGAAGCTATTGTGTTTTTTACTGAACATTTCGTGTTTCCCAACTTACAGTTTCAATTAATAGGATCTGTTCATACTGTGCCCTTTATCTTACCTACTATTGCTGCAGCCCCGTCGGTACATATGTCAATACATTTTTTCCAATCAATGTTGTGTTTATTCATGTAACAATCTATGACCTTAAATATTTTTTCTCGCCTTGTATGGGTTTCCAATGGCGTGCATTTATCTGACGAATACAAGTAATATAGATAGGCCAGCTACTTTTATCAAGTTGCATCGCAAACAATTCGGAAGCATACAATCGCTGTATAAGTTCATCTTCAATATGGTCAGATATTTTGTGAATTCTATCGGAAACAGTGTTGTTTGAGCATTGCATTGCTACAACCTTCTTTGCTGCGTCTTTTCCAAGTATGCAGCCGACTGTTTCTAACATGCATGGTTTAATTAAGTTCTCTGCAATTGCATGTGATTTACCAGACAAGCCTATCCTGTAACTTAGGCGGAACAATGCTTCAGTAGCACTTTCATTATTAATTTTTGCAAATTCGTCACTGTGGCTTCATACGTCTCTTTTTGTATTTGAAAAAAACTGGTATCTTTTTCCTTGAGATTTTCATGGTTAGAATCAAAGTGCTCTCTCTGCCGCCTTCGCGGTCGCGGCGACAGCAAGTCTTGTGAATATATAACAACAGGCGTATATTATATGTGGTGTTTATGGGCTGGTCCGCCGTCGCCGTCGTGTAAGTAATACACAGGCGATAGACAGCTACCTTGTGGGACGGCGGCTGCTATGTTGCGGACGCATGAGGTCTCCCCCTCCACCACCACCCGAAAAGTCCGGTTGGTCAGTCCTGCCGTCTCTATCCTCTTGGTCTTGGTCAGTCTGTTGGACAGCCGTCTGCCTGTGGGCGCTGCACACAGGCGAAAAATCAATAAAAGTCGGACTCAACCTAAACATTATAGATTATTATCATAGGAAAGATATCCTGTGTCGCGGGGGACTTTACAAATATACATGAAACGGATACAAACACCCAGACTGAGAACAACAATTTGTGGATCACAGAAAGTGTCGTCCCATGTGGGGTTTGAACCCACAACACTCGGCGCAGTAGGAAGCGTCGTGGCGACCGCTTAAATCACTACGCCATCCGTGCAGTCAAGTATAAAGGTGTGTAACTAGTAATAATAGATTTAAAAACTCTTGGCACAACGGAACAGATTTTTTGCCATTTATTTTCTCAGTTCCGTTATAAACGGATCAGAAGAAACCATAAGTCTCTTGAAAGTGTCTTCAATGGCTCACTTTCCAAAAAAAAAATCTTGAAAATGTTCTCTGTACTTACGAAAATCTTTGTTCCTACTTTCTTGAGCATTTTCGCTCATTAATCCTATAACTACTTCAGAATTTTCTGCTATATCTGATCCATGAATAAGTATTTTGTGAAGTGTTGTTGACATATTATACCATGGATGATTCATCAAAAAAAAAAGAAGCCGTTTTAATGCAATACGCTTTGAATTTGTTTGCATTTATTTTGTAACCACTTTCCTTTCCCAGGGCTTCCCTGATGCAGCTGAATGGCTATTGAGACTATTGAATGCGTTGGCGATGTCCAATGACACCGTCAACAGCACGCCACCACAGCCTCTTCGGTCACCGCCCTCAGGCGCAACACAGCGCCGACCGTCGAACGCCCCGCTCGAAAACCGAATTGGGCGTCCGACAGATCGGGGCCCACCTCGCAAAGATGCCGGACGATGCGGGCAGAGAGAACTCTCTCAAACAATTTACCCGCCTCGTCCAGCAACACGATGAGCCTGTAGGCCGCGACCGAATCGGCAGGCCGTCCCGGCTTCCTCAACAGGACCAGCTTCCCGCTCTTCCAGCACTCAGGGAAACGTCCGGACACCAAACTAGCGTCGGACTCCTCCCTGAGGCGGTCTGCCATGTGGTTGAGGGCTAGGGCCAGCACTCGGGCCGGTATCCCGTCTGGCCCAGGGGCGGTCTTCTTGCAACGAATCCGTAGAACAGCCGCCCCAACCTCCGAATTTCGGACAGGCGGAACATCATCCCCGCTCTCCCTGTCGTTTCCGGCCAAGTAGGCCATTGTAGTACATATAAACATACCTGAACCCATAATGGAACAATTGAAGAAAATTGTAAATGACTATTATGAAAAATGGCAATCTCCGAACTGCATGGGGTCAATTGACGGGAAGCATTATCGTATAAAGAAACATAAACATTCAGGATCTGAATACTCTAACTACCGAAAGTTTTTTTCTTTAGTGCTTCAAGCAGTTGCTGATGCTGATAAAAAAAAAGTTCATCGTAGTTGAAGTTGGTGGTCGAAACAAATAGAGTGATGGTGGCACGTTTTACTACTCAAGATTAAATAAACAACTAGAAAACAACAGGTTTAATATGCCAACTCCTCTAACGCTTCCAGGCACCGACAAGCAGCTACCCTTGGTCTTGATTGGATTGGAGATGAAGCTTACCCAATAAAATAATACCTCATGCGCCCAAATCCTCTAGGAAATCTTGATCGCAACAAAGAAGAATTTGACAAGAGGCTATCAAGGGCCAGAAAGTGCGCTGAATGTGCATTCGGAATTCTGTGTACCAAATGGCGTACTCTTAATAAATCGATAGCACCAAATGTTAAACATCCACGTCTAATAATAAAAACTGCTTGTTTGCTTCATAACATCACTATGAGTAAAGATGTTCACGCCGATCGCAATACGCATTTGATCAATCAAATATCTTCAACAAACTCAGCATCAAGTTCTAGACAAGACAATAGTTCCGCAATGAGGGCTAGAGCAGTACGAAGTTACTTCACTGATTACTTTTATAATGATAACAATAAAAATAAACGATAAAAGTTAACTACCATCAGAATCTCCGCTTATTATTTTTATTTCTTCCCATAGTTGTCAATCACTTCTCGATTCGAATGACTCCAATACGGCACTTATTAAATCTTCACTCGTCAACGGCATGTCCGAACAAACAGAGCAGGAAACGCAAACTGACTTGCGTCCACCCGCCCCGCTCGCGACAACCGCTTGTCCCTTTGCGATTCCCGCTCACCCGCCCCGCCCCTACTTGGTGCACCTTAGTCAAAAACTACGTGTTTGCGTTACCTGCGGGCGGATTCCACTGCCCGCCCCGCTGCCACTGTAATTGTACACTTAGTCGGCTTCGCGCTCGGGTTGTTAACCCGGGGGGCAATCGGTTGGTGTTATGGCCTGGCAGTTGGGTTATTCACTCTCGGTGCCGGCTTGGTTGGTTTAGTGGTTGTTGTTTCGAATTTAATTTTGGTATCCATGAAATTTAGTTATTTGTTCATCTCCTTGTTCTTCCACCCTCAAGTGGGGGCGCCGCGGCAGAAGGAACACAACGCCAGAAGTGACAAGGAGATAAAGATTGACGACTGGATGGCTATTCCAAAGGTCGCGGGTTCGATTCCCGCTCAAGTCAAACATTTCTGTGCATGAACATTTGATGTTTGATTTGGTCTGGGTGTTTCTATGTATAATATGTATGATTGATCAACGCCTGCATGTGAGAACATTATCCATATCTGTCGTTACAAAATAGTTTCTCAGCGGTCTCTTCGCCCCTTGATTATATTGTTTATGTATAGGACTGTAAGATGCGTGATCAAAGTTGTTTAAAACCGTGATATTGCATACAGTGGTTCCATGATTTGTTAATCTTTCAAGAAAAGTTATCATCAACAGGTTCAAGAATGTTGACAACATGAAGTCTGGTCATGTCTGGTCATGGTCAGCTGTACATCCTTTATTGATATATTTTTGTCAGCATACTAAATGCACGTAGACAAATTCGCGAACATTTTTTTTTGTTTGTGTTTTTAACAAATTGAACACGCAAAATCAAATATAATAACAAAATAAACAATAAAGGAAATCTAAGGCACACATTAACCCAACTTAATTTGATTTAAAAATAAACAATTCTAATTAGACCATCTAAGGTCGAAAGTAAATTCAAAAGTATCTACTGAATAAAAATCATTAACTCTATCCGGATCACGTAAACCGGTAATCAAAGAATTTAAAGATTTTAAATTATTGAAACAACTCTGCTTAGCTTCATCGAGCCCTGAAAATGTTCTCGAAACCACATTCTCAGAATGTTCCATTGATCGTTCACCAACATCACAAGCATTTAAAATTCTAGTTATGTACAACGATACTAAACGACCATTTATATTAATATATTCGTCGTTTAAGGGACACCTCTCAGTCTTACCAACGACAAAACTACGGAAATCGTAAAAAATTTGCCGTATTTCATCACGTCCGACATTAGTTGTAAATCTCACTCGATGGGCTTGAGCTATGGTCTTGAGTATGTCATTTCTAGCAATGTACGTTTGATTGCTCAAAACAGCATGTTTCCCATTCCAATTGATGTAACCACTCCTCGCGGTCTCATCAACTACCATCGCTGGTCATTGACCAACGGATCTACTATGAGCACTTGCCATTAACGAACTCTCAAAGGGGAATGCCCACTACCCATAGACACTTTGGCCCTAGGTGCACACATATAAAAGCATATGGAAACGATAATATACAATTTAAAGAATGAAATGATTAAGGAATTGGTATTAAAAAAAGTCGGGATTTTTAAGATATAAAATGATTTTAATTTTCAGAAATATCTACAGTTTTTTTTCTTATTCATCATTTTATTGTAATTCTCACATACAATATCAAGTTATATGTAGTTGTTAGGTATTTTATGATCATACATCATTTGTGTCATACACAATTAGTACATCATCCAGGAATTGAGCCGGAGGAAAAATATTTGTTTGATGTCGTGCCCAACCCAAATAAAATATTACTGTCACTATATGGGCACAACATCCTACCGTTCGACGGCCAACAATACAGTTACAACAATACTTTTTAATTGCACTTCTGCCAGAATCATTGCCACTAATTAAAATATATATAAAATATATTTTTCGACTGATTTGTCGACTTGCGATTCTTAAGTAAAGAGCAGTTAGGACTAAGGTGTATTCCTTCCATAATGCTGCTCCTATGGTCATTGCATACTTCTATGTGGTAGCAACCATTAGCTCTTATATGCTCACCATAATAGGAGCGAGCTTGCTTTAATTGGTATGTACCACAAGCAATTAGTACTAAGTCGCTGTAAGTTAAAATAGGAAATTCCCTAACATTTTCGGAGCCTACGTTTATATTTCTAAAGTCTGCCCTAGCTCTATTAAAATAAATAAATAAATAATATTAGCACTAACATAATGAAATCATAATAATTACCGAAAATCGAATAATATAGCTATAAAATAATGTCTGTCTTTGGCAGAAAATAGCGCTAGGAAGCGCTTATGAGCGCTACTGGCTTACTAGCGCTGACACAGTTTTCGGCCAGGACACGTTTACTAACTTCAGTAGCGCTGACACAAACCGCCATTTTGCTTATTTATTTTGTTTGTTTTAAACGTAGAATTTATAAGATGTTTTGTGCAATTAGTTTCAAGTAATATTAAAATAAATAATAATGTCAGTCCAAAAAATAGTAAAATTAGTAATTGGGAACACTTAATATTTTGTCAGAAACCAATGAAATACGGATAAACGTAATTTCACTTTTATCTTTTCGGTACTTTTATTTTCTGTTTAAATGTTGCAGACCTGTCAGGATAAATGAATACCCCAATTAATAAATAGAAAATAAGATGGTTTTTTCTAACAAAAGCAAATTGTTGGGCGTTTCATGGCCGAAAATGGGCATTCCCCTTTAGCAGTTATGTTAGCGAGATTTGTAAACACAGGAGCCAGTGCCTCACCGATCAAACGAGCGAGTTCCTGTTGATTCCTTAGCACAAGTTCTTGTGCGAATTGTTGCGAATCCTTGCCTCTTCTTGCGCCTCAGCCATCTTTTGTTTAAATGAGTGACTTTCGGATATACGAACTTTATATATTTTAGCTAAAGCTACTCTTACTTCACTGTTTGTTCTTTCAGTGAGCTGTAATTTAGAAACAATGTCAGCTAACTTACCCTCCGATGATGATCCTGATTGTGAAGTCACTTACAGGTGGAGAACTAACCGAAGAACAAGATGGAGCAGTCAGAGTTGATGGTGACGGTGGTATTTTTGTAAGCATACTAACTTATAAACTTATAAAAAAAATATAACACTAAGGGCCATGACGTCTCACGGGCTACTACTTCGAAATTAAAAATTTGACAAAATTGCAGGTGGATGATTTAAAATTGTGTTTGTATTTTACTATTGGTAAACAATAAAACAAATGTAAATTAATTCAATCATTTTTTTTATTATTACTTATAAAAAAAAATATAATTAACAATTCGTGGTAATTTTCAGCCTTAATGGGGATTGTCTAAATTTCTTGAGCCCTATTTTTTACCTTTTACCTTTTATTTGGAGGACGAACCTGCCAGATTTTGTCTTGTTTCTTATCTTCAGTTACTTGTTACTTTATGTGCCTACCAATATTATAATTTCTTACGATTCTACACCTAACCAAAAAAAGAAATTCAAAACGGAGAAGATGGTGGATGACGTCTATACACCGCAACAGGACGATGTAAGTATTTGTATTTGATGATTTTTTATGAATTTATTATTGTATGCCTAATTTATTCCTAAGTAATCGGCAATCCAAACGGATGAAAATTCATCCTTAAATCCTCAATATGTTATTTTAGACTACAACAAAAAAAAGTACATATGTATGTCCTAAAGCATTTTGATGCTTAAGAGTAAAATATGCACCACGTTTTTATTTTATTTTAAAATATTACTTTCTTTTGCAGACAAACTATGGACAAACAAATTACAGAACTACTTTCTGAATCATCTGGTGAATTTGAAAATTTTGTGCGCATGTCTTTCTTCGATTTTGAATACTTATTGAACAAAGTTGCTCCTATTATCGCCAAGCAAGATACTCAACTAAGGCACGCTATACCACCCAAAGTACGACTTGCCATTGCATTAAGGTTTTTGGCTACTGGCGACAGCTACAAAAGTCTACATTTTTTATTTAAAGTTTCGAGTCAGCTGATTTCAATAATTATACCAGAAGTTTGTGCTGCAATCAACGAAGCATTAAAAGACCAGGTAAAGGTAAATTGTTTTATTACAATTAAAATAATTTTTAGAAAAGTAATCAATCAATCAATACAAAACAAAACCATCATTCCAGGCTGTTATTAAAATTTTCGAGATAATCTCTGGCCGGTGTAACTATTATTTGATCGGACAAAATTTTTACTGATTGTGTGTTGTCGACTGGGTTATAATTCGGATCTGGAATGTGTAAAACAGGCGGATTCGTAGTTTCTAGCGACATAGTATGAGGAATGTATTGAAGAACTGGTGGATATGTAACTGGAGCCTTCATATTATAATTTTTTACCATTTTATTCGGTACAGCAGGTTCTGAATATGATGTGCAACAAGATTCGCGTCGTTTTGGTATTCTAATGTTATGTATAGGTTCTGAGTAAGACGATTGAGAAGAAGTAGGTCGTTGTGAGATGTTTTCAGAGGTACAAAAATTAGGTGATGGGCTACTATTACTGCGTAAACGGTTTATGAACATGCCGTCTATTTCGTACATGAAAATAGCACGTTCATTTTCGCGTAGCCCCCGTAATTTTTTGGCAAGTAACTGTGTAAAATGTATCTTAAATTTGTTAGTGAGGTGGTACGTTAGGCTCTTGTGGTTTTGTTTTAAGTTAAAAACAGGCCGTCATTAGAGTCGCCAATCGAGAAAAATCTTTATAAATAAAATAAGTTATTACGTTTTTTAAAGTTTAATCAGAAAATACAACATGTCGAAAATATCTATGAATGTGATTAATGAATGTGTTCAAGGTTTCAATGAAATAAACTTAATTAAGCTAATCTGAAAAATGGTATGTAAGTATTTGTCTATTTAATATATAGCAGCGGCGCTAGTTACGAGTACGGTATGTTTTAAAAACGCATGTCAATATTATATTATCACAAAATCAAGGAACAAAAGCCCATCACTAATAATACCATTTATTGGTTATCTTTTTGTTGTTGAATAGAATTTAAAAAAGCATTTAATGCGTTATCATCAAGACCAATCTCTTCCTGTGTCTCAATATCATTTGGATTATCAATGTTTGTTGAAGTTGGTGTTATTATTTTGTTTGAAGACTGCGCATCAACATCTTTTTTTTTTTTCTTTTAAAAAGACATCTCCCGCATTAGGAATAAATCCTGTGTCGCGGGGGACTTTACAAACATACATGAAACGGACACAAAGAACACCCAGACTCAGAACAACAATTTGTGGATCACACAGTGTCGTCCCATGTGGGGTTTGAACCCACAACACTCGGCGTAGTAGGAAGCGACGTGGCGACCGCTTAAACCACTACGCCATCCGTGCAGTCGAATCGTTTGAATTAATAACCCTTATGGGCGGTGAGTTCTCTTTAGATAATTCTAATACATATTGTGGTTTAGACTTGTCCCTGAAAACCATCTCCTCTGCATCGGTAACTATTTTAATAACTTGAAACAGTTGAAAATTTGAAACAGTTTCCCCCAAGTTCTTGAAAAAGTCAACAATTTTGTCCGATTTATTTTTCTTAGCACTGTATTTTTTTTCTAAATACTCTTGCAATAACGAGTGTGTTGGTGAAAGTTGTGGTGGAGTATCTAAACTTCTGGAATTTATTTTGTAAGGACGAGGTGAACTGTCTTCTGAAGAACCAGCACGATTTCTTATAGTGCTTTGTGAAGTACCAACACTTAAACCAGGGCTATCACGGCTATGAGTATCATCTAAAAGACTATTATCCTCATTACTTGAGTCTTGGGAAACATTATTTGGTGGAAAATTTGAAAAAGTTTCATCCTCGTTGCTAATATAGGGGTTAAGGAATGACAATAAATCTTCACATTTTGGTTTCTTCATATTTGTAGCAGCTTGTCCACTTTTTAATTTCTTTAACTTTTTAACCATGAGCCTGATGCTCGTTATAGTTGAATATACCACTGCGTACTCTAACGACAGTCACGCGATTGCCGTCGAACTCGCTGTGTGTCATGGCTGAGGACGGGTGCAAAACGCCAGAAAAGGCGGGTACGACCGCCCCTCTCAGAAAGTGGGTACGCGAGCGATATATAGGTACGTGCTCTGCATCTCCCGAAACAATAACGATTCGTCGAACACGTTCCTGTAATACATTATTCTTGACTAATGCGAAGGAAGAGAAGAACTCTTCTTCAGGCAGACCTTCGTAGTTGTATGTCTGAGTAGTCAGAATATACTTTTTGGTCTTCGATTCCAAATACAGAGAAACGATAAAGTAACACTTACTTTCGTTTTTCGAAACAATTTTCGATTCGGCGGTTTTCGTCTTACTGGACATGGTTCAGGTTTATCTGAGTTCTTCTAGTAGAGTCTTTCACGAGCTAGCCGTTTCTACTCGAATGCGTACGTTGTTTCACGTTTATCTCTTATACGTCTCCATCTGTCTCTGCAAGTTTTAGCTGTGGAAGAAAAAATATAATAATAATAATAATAATAATAATGATTGTTGATATCGCCGTTCCTCATGACGAGAATCTCGTGAAAGTTGAAAAAGAAAAACAAATAAAAAATTTGGATTTATCTCACGAGATTGTCGATATGTGGAATGTCGATTCAGTGATAATTGTTCCGATAGTCGTATCTGCTCACAGATTGATAGCCAAGAGCCTCGACCAACACCTTAAGAGGCTCACGTTGGACGGCTGGATCAAGGGTCTGATACAGAAGGCAGTCCTCCTTGACACGGCTCGTATAGTGAGGAGGTTCCTATCTTTGCAGTCCTAACCACCGGTGTCTTGGTACCTGTACCCGATGTCGGTGGTCTACTATTTTTTATATTTTTAAATGTATTTTATTTCTTTTGTAATATATTTAAAAATGTAATTAATATGTAAACATAATTTAATAAAGAGAATAATAATAATAATAATAGCCTTTTATTTCCCATAACAAATAACTCAACATTTGGTAGATTTTTATAACAACAAACTAATTTCACTTCACTTGTAGAATTTACATAGGTATATCTTTTTATTTATTTTTATTTATTTATTTGATTCTTACTTTATTTCATTTTCTCTATTTCATTTTTAATTTTTAAAGGGGAACCCACTTCTGGGTGAAGGCCTCCTCCATTTCTGACCATAGGTTTCTGTTTTTGGCTAGTCTCGTCCAGTTTGGCCCAGCAAGGGCCACGATATCGTCGCGCCATCGTCGTTTTGGCCTGCCGCGTGGTCTAACTGCATCTCGTGGGTACCAGTGCAGGACTCTCTCACTCCATCGTCCATCGGTTGTTCTCGCTATGTGTCCAGCCCATCTCCATTTCAATCTGCATAATACCTCAGCGGCATCTATGACTTTAGTTATTTTTCTTATGTCGGTGTTTCGTTTTCGATCGCTTAGCTTAAAACCTAGCAGGCTTCTTTCTGTCGCAGACTGGAATACTCTAATTTTATGTATTATTTCTTTTGTAAGCGCCCAGCTTTGGCAGCCGTACAGTAAAGTAGGTAAAACTACAGTATCCATTGCTTTTTTCTTTAGTTTGACAGGAAGTTTCGATTTAAATACTTCTTTGAGCGACCAATACTTAGCCCAAGCTTTCTTTACGCGACTTTCAACTTCTCTTTTCGTCTGATCATTGAAGCATATAATTTGTCCCAAGTATGTATATTCATCAACATACTGTACTTCTCTTGATTGTATAACCAGAGGGATCTTCTCTCTATTGGTCATAACGCAGGTCTTATTAGGATTCATATGTAATCCGCACTTTTGACTCTCTATGTTCAACGTCTTTAGTAGGTACTCTAAGTCTTCATATCCTTCCGCCATCAGAACAATATCGTCGGCGAATCGTAGATGGTTAATGTATTCGCCGTTTATGTTAATGCCTATTTTTTCCCAGTTTAGTTTTCTGAATATATGCTCCAAGAGTGCAGTGAACAAGTTAGGAGAGATTGGATCACCTTGTCGTACTCCTCTTCTCATTCGAAATGGTTTTCCTTTCCGTTCCAGTTTCACAACTGCCCAACTGTTTTTATATATTTCTCTGAGAACTTCAATATATGTTTCATTTATTCCCTGTTCTTTCAGTGCATTCCATAAAGGGTCATGTAATATTGTGTCGAACGCTTTAGAGTAATCGACGAAAGCGATGTATAACGTTTTATTGTATTCTTCATATTTTTCAATGATCTGTGTTAGGGTAAATATGTTGTTAACGGTAGAGTACCTTTGACGAAAGCCTGCTTGTTATCGGGGCTGATTGAATTCTAGTTGTTTAATGATTCTTTTAAGTAGGACAGCAGTAAATACCTTGTAAATTGTTTGTTGTAGGCTAATCGGTCTATAGTTTGAAATATCATGTGGATCGCCTTTCTTGTAGAGAAGAGAAATTATAGATGTGTTCCATTCCTTGGGTATGATTCGGTTATGCAATATTTCATTCAATAATTTCGTAATAAGAGGAGTCAAAGGTTCTTTGATAGCTCGTAGAACTTCATTTGTAATACCGTCCTCTCCTGGGCTTTTGTTGGACTTCAAATGATTTATCACCGAGGCAATCTCGCTGTTCAAAAAAGGTGGTAAATCTTCAATATTACAATTTTGCTCTTCAATACAGTCGTTATAATCTGTGAATTTGTCATCATATAGCTGTTGGTAGAAGTCTGTCGCTATAGAGATTACTTCACTTCTGTTTGATGTTTTCTGTGAGTTGTTATTTTTAAGCGACATAATCCATTTCTTACCATTATTCAATTTTTTCTTGGCTCTCTTAAACGAAGCTCTTTTCTCAATCTCTTCCTCTATTACACTGTATCTGTACATTTTTCTGTCGTGTCTTAGTTGTTTTTTTACTAGTTTATATAGCGCGCTTAATTTATTTTTCTCGGATCTTGATCTATTTGATTTATTCTTTAGTCTATTTCTCTCGCCTATTAGTCGTATTATATATTCGTTTATTGGTGTCTGCTTTTTCATGTCTTTCAGTGGAAGTTTTTCTACAGATTGCTTTATGCAAGAGCTTAGTCTTTCGTAAGATATTTGTGTATCGCTCGTTATTTATAATGCTTTCGATAGATCTTTAAAAGCTTTATTTATAAATTCTTGCTCTATTTCGTCTAAGTCGCATGCTTTACGTCTTGTGCCGAATTTTTTGCGTGATATTTTGTTACATTGTCCAATATATAGCTTTGCTCTCACCAACCTGTGATCACTCGGAAAAGTTGTGTTGATAATTTGTATGTTTCGTATGGTGTTCTTATCTCTTGCCAAAACGAAATCAATCTCGTTCTTATTTTTGCCATCGGGGGAGAGCCAGGTCCACCTACGTTTACATTTTTTCTTAAAATAAGTGTTCATTATGTGTAACTTTTGTTCGAAACAAAAATTGACAAGAAGAGCTCCGTGTTCGCTTCTTTCACCATATCCCCATGGTCCCATAATGGTTTTATCATCATAGGTGGGCTGGCCAATCTTTGCATTAAAGTCTCCCATAATTAGAGTAAGTTTACCAGTGTTCTCCATTACTTTTCTCAGGTCGTTATAGAAGGCTTCAATTTCATCGTCTATGCTTTTCTCCGTTGGAGCATAACATTGAATTAGATGCAAATGTATATTGTTAAATTGTAGATCCAGCCGTATAACTCTATCCGAAATGGCGTAAATGTTGATAATATTTAGTTTCCATTTTTTATTTATTAAAAAACCAACGCCATTTCTTCCAGGTTTTTCTCCAAAATAAATAAAAATGTACTTTTCATGCTCTATTATTTCTTTTCCCGCTTTCTTAATTTCGGATAAACCGATCACGTCCCATTTTAGGTTATCGAGCATATATTCTAGCTCCAAATATCTAGTTTTATTCACTAAAGATCTTACGTTGAAAGTACAGATATTAAATAAGGTAAGATTTACCTTTTTGTTCTTAATTTTTTGGTTTTCAGGAACAGGAGGGTTTTGGTTATCTTCCCCCACGGTGACCAACCGGCTTGGGGTGCATTTTTTTGTTGGTTTGTATGAAGTTATGATACTTGTTCTATTTTGGTTCCTGGTGCCGGTGGTCTTTATAAGTTTTTTGGGATCTCAGAGAGTGAAGCAGATCTGCCTCGTTCAATGTAGTTCAGTATGTTGGGTTTTAAGATTTCTCTTCCCTTCATTGATGTTGTAGCTGGGTTGTCCTTTAAGTCTATTTTTTTTTTGTGATGAAGAGTTCGGTGAGTCCAAACCGTCTCTTTTCCTTTTGTCTCTGTTTATTCCTGGTGGTTTCTTAACTATTATCTTATCATGCCTTAAAAAGGCTATGTTTCCTTTTTTTCTTTCTTCTTCCACTTGTACTTGTAATTTCTTCCGTTTTTCTAGCACTTCTTTGGTGTAGTCTTCTTTCACATAAGTACCTTGAGGAAGCTTTGACTTATTTTTCAGAATCAGGTGTTTTTTCCAAAGGGACGTGATGGAGACTACGATAGGCCGGTTTTTAACAGTTTCCTTGTTGTCAATTCTGTACATATTGCTAATTTCCTGGCTACTTAGGTGCGTCCCTGTTTCTAGAATCGTGTCCTTGAGGTAGTCTACCAGTTCCGCTTATGTTTTGCCAATCTCCTCAAAGCCAAAAAAGACCAGGTTGTATTTCTTTTTCTCTCTTTCCATGACATTAAGTTTTTGCTCCAGTGTAGATATTTTGTCTTTGAGCATAGTATTTTCCTCTGTTAATAACTTTAGTTTCTCATCTAATGCCTACATAACGTTTTTCGTGACCGACTCTGTTATTAGTTTAGCTTGTTGATTCAATTTCTCATCCAATCTTGATAGCAACAACTCCATACTTTTTTCCATTTTGTTTGGTTTTACAATGCTGGTAGGATTTAGATTGTCGTTGCTGGCAACACTGACTCCGTATGTCAGTCAAATGACGTTGGTTGGTTGTCAAAGTGAAGTATGTTGATTATGTTGGCAGCACTACTATGACATGCAATAATTTTCACTTTTAGGTTAAGTTGTTGCCTGATTATTTGTAGTTTTTTTGTTCACTAATGGTTATTTAGCACTTTGTTCACTTTCTTGTTTCGTTTTTTGTTGTCTAGTCTGATAGTTTTCGTGTTGAGACACTGTTATTTTACACTTTTTACGTTAAAATGAATTATTATTATTATTTGCGGAGGGCAAAGCCCTCCGCAAATAATAATTCATTTTTTAATTAATTTAACTACGTGTACGTTTAATTTAACGTACGTGTTTACGTTTCGAACACCGGAACCGGAACCGTAAAGTTAGAATATAAAGCATAAATAGGCTGATGATGATGCTATTAAAGGACGCCAAGGAACACAACCTTATTGGCTTGCATAAACGTAAGGATCGGCCAAAAGATGCAAGATGTTTGAACTACATTGCTTTTTATGTTTCAGATATTTGGCAACAGGAAATTCAATTTAGTCATTAGCCACTACTTTTCGACTTGGTGAATCAACTGTTAGACAAATTATTTACGAGGCATGTACAACCATATTTAAGAAACTATCACCTAATGTCATGCCCGTGCCGACAGAAGCAGACTGGAAACGTAAAGAACAGCGTTTTAGAAGGCAATGGAACTTTCCAAATTGCATTGGGGCACTGGATGGAAAGCATGTTATTATTGAAGCACCACCGAATAGCGGTTCCCTTTACTTTTCTTACAAAAAAACGTTTACTACAGTTTTATTGGCCTTAGTCGATGCGGACTACCGTTTTACAGTCATCGTTGGTGCCTTGGGTAAAAATTCTGAAAGCCAAATACTTAATAACTCTAATTTTGGCAAAGCTTTAAACATGGACGGTTAAATTTGCCTGCTGATCGTTTAACCCTTAGTAGCCTGATTTACGAAAGTGATTTATTTTTAATATTACTGTGTTTGCTTGAGGGTCTAGATGAAGCGAAAAATAGTTAAAAAAATCACAATATTTATTTTACATATTTATTTAGAAAAAAAAACAGGTATCAATTTTGATAACGCCATAAAGAAATCAGATATACCTATGCATGAAATAATGCGAAACATTGATTGTTTTTATTATCGCATAACGACACTTTACACTTTTTACAGAACCAGGAGGTAAGTTTCCTACAATTATTAAATTTACACTTATTTCTAGAATTCATAAATATTTTTTCATGACCAATACAATCGCAACGCACGTCAGTAGAGGGTAGTACTTGTACACCTGTCCGGGGTCTTTTCGAAGGTACTGTAGTGTCTTGTCGACTGTTGGTACTGGGTCTTCCCCTTTTATTTTTCGAGTGACTTTGATATCTGCATAAAGTATCGGCAAGCTCAGTTCTAAAATCTGCTAACTTCATAATATTCTTCTGAAGTTTTCCTTTCATTGTGTTTACCTTTTTGTATAGTACCCAAGCATTGATGACAGTCATGTCTAACAAGTGGTAGAAGAGCCTCGCTGTCCACTTTCTCGACTTTATGCGGATGCGATATCGACCAATGAAGCTATCCATCAAATCAACGCCGCCCATGTGTGCATTATATTCTTTTATGACCCGAGGACATGATACTTGAACATTGGCCTTTAGTTTTTTTTCGTAGCGGGTTATAGTATCCGCTGGTTCAGCGCCAACATACGTGGAAAGTAATAGTACTTGTTTGTTGTCTTTCCAACTTGTGGCCGAAAATTCGTGGCCTTCGTGAGAGGCCACATTTTCGTGCTATGTTCCTCTGGGTACGTTAGACTTCATAATTTCCCGTTTCTCCGGCAACTTGCACGACTTTCCAAGCCTGTTTCTCTGTACTGTTCCAAGACAATAAATACCTTCGTTAGTCAAGTAATGTAGCAGAGGAATATTCGTATAAAAATTGTCAAAATAAGTTATATGATTGACGTGCCTTGGTACTGGTCGTAACAATCGAATAACTGTATTCGATACAGCTCCGAGGTCTGGTTCGCCAGGTAAACGGTCTATGTCCTTAGCTCCTGAGTAAATCTCAAAACTGTAGGCATACCCAGACAGAGAGCATAAAACGTATAATTTGAATCCCCACTTATGGGGCTTGATGGGTAAGTATTGTTTCATAAAATGTTTAATTTTAGTTGAACACATTTGCTCGTCTAGTGATAGACGATGCTCAAATGGTACAGTAATAAATTTCTTGTTCAAATAGTCTATCACTGGTCTTACTTTATGCAGTCGGTCGTGCTGGGGATGATCAATGGGCAAATGTTTAGTCGTCATTCATGTGAAAAATTTGTCGAATTTTATCAAATCTGTTGCGATTCATTGTTTGTGCTATGGGTTCAAACTTTGTAATGTTTGACCAGTATGACCTGACACTAGGATAATGATATACACTAGTAAAAATAAAAATTCCAATAAATTTACGTAATTCTAAGACAGTTACAGGTTCTGTAAAGTTGGGATTCTTTTGGAAGGCATATTTATTTGACTCGTCCACTAGAAATCTCAAAATTTCTTCACCGAAAAAATAAGAAAAAAACTGAAAAGGAGTGTCTAAGTTCATAATTTCTTGTGAATACTCAGTGTTTCCAGCAAACTTTAAAGCATTTTGGACTATGTCCATATTCTTTACTCTCCACACTAAGTTTCTAGAGTTGAAAGGTGCAGTTTGCAGGTTGTTCTGGCTGCTGGTTGTAGGAGTTGGGCTTCGTTCAACAGTCTCTAAATTATGTTGCATGTCGGTATCTACGTTTGCTGCAGGTGGATCTGCATCCAAGTTTGGGTCAGTGGGAAAATTACCTACATCCTCTTCATCTTCTAGCTCCATCAGACGATCTCTTTGGCTCGAATAATAGTCTATGTCATCTTCATTGTCGGTGGAATCGTCTTCCGAAATTTCACCATTTTCTAACTGCTTCAATATGCCCTCAATCTCTTCTGGTCGCATTTTTGATAAATTTCTATAATAAAATAAAAATAAAAGTAATCCCAACACCAAGCTATGCAGAAAAATAATGAATCGGAAGTTCAAAAAGTTTTTATAGCTAAAGAATTTGTAGGTAGGTTTTATGTAGGGCGGAATGCCTGAAGTATCAAAATTGATACTCACAAAAATAGCACTAGTTTCTTCAAGTAAAACATGCACTCGCAAAAAATAATTATATCATAGCGAAAATAATATATTCACTTACCTCAAAAGTATTTATATTCTTCAGAAAAAGAAAATATATCAAATTTGTATTCAACAAAACTTTTAGTAAAATGTGTTTACTTGTTCACTTTGCCGCGCAAGTAATATGTCATAGATAAAATAAAACAATAATGACATTTGTTTTTTTTTTTAAATTTCGTTGGAAAGAATATTATACAATAGTAAAATACGTACAGCCAACCTATAAAAAAAACTAATAGTAATGTGAACATTCGGTTTAAAAGATTGGTATCAAAATTGAAACTCTAGGTTATTAAGGGTTAATACCGGGTACAGACTTAATGTTAACACATGTCATTGTTGGAGACGAAGCTTTTCCTTTAACCAGACATTTGATGAGACCATATCCGGCAAATCAGTTGACAAATGACGAAGACAAGAAACCTTTTAATTATAGGCTGAGTAGAGCTAGGCGTGTGAGCGAAAATGCTTTTGGTCTATTGGTGAAAGAGTTTAAAGTTCACGAAAGACGTTTTTCGTTATTGCCGAAACATGTTAATGGTATTATATTAGCCACTTGTTGTTTGCACAATTTACTGCGAAACGACATTTGCTACTGGTCTGAAGAGGAAGCTTAGAGAAATGTGGTAACAGAAGCCATAACAGATTTGCCATATATTGGAGGCCATGCAGCACTAGACGCAATGTGTGTCCGAGATCAATTTAAAAGATACTTCGTATCTCCAACTGGTACCGTTGGGTGGCTGTCGAGGGTTATTAGACGAGGTATTCGAAGAAACTAATCTGTTGATACCTTTTTTATTACTTAGTTATATTCTTTACTAGCTGACCCGCGCAACTTCGTCTGGGTTTCTCAATAGTAATAAATTTTCTCCGTTTTTGAAACATTCTTCATTGGTGCTCCGCTCCTATTGGTCTTAGCGTGATGATATATAGCCTATAGCCTTCCTCGATAAATGGGCTATCTAACACTGAAATAATTTTTCAAATCGGACCAGTAGTTCCTGAGATTAGCGCGTTCAAACAAACAAACGAACAAACTCTTCAGCTTTATAATATTAGTATAGATTATTGTCATCATTAATAAAGTAATACCTACTCTAATAATGAAAGATACACCATGGTTGTTGGTATCAGACAGTTTGGTTGACACTTTTCATATATTGTATACAGGAGTACAAATAAGTTTCCGCCGTTTTTTAACACAAATTAAAAATTTATTATAGAAGAACGATAATATAAATTTATTTAAAATATTGCCCATCACTTGCAACCACTTTTTCCCATCTCTCAGGCAGCATTCGAATCCCACTTCTGAAGAACTCTTTTGAGGCTATGCACGAATCAACCCAATTTTTGGTATCCTCATAAGATGTGAACCGTTGCGCCGTCAGAGCATGTGCCATGGACCGGAACAGGTGATAATCGGACGGTGCAATGTCTGGTGAATACGGCGGGTGGGGTAACACTTCCCAATCAAGTGTTTCCAAGTACTTTTTCACGGGAGCCGCAACATGTGGACGAGCATTGTCATGCAGAAGAATAATTTTTTCGTGTCTAGAATAGTATTGAGAGCTCGGCTCAATCTCATCAATTGTGATCGATAGAGGGCTCCAGTAATTGTTTCGCTCGGATTAAGCAACTCATAATACACTACACCTAGCTGATCCCACCAAATACACAGCATAAGTTTTTTTCCGTGAATATTCGGTTTTGCTGTTGATGTTGACGCGTGGCCAGGTAATCCCCATGATTTTCTTCTTTTTGGATTGTCATAATGTATCCACTTCTCATCACCAGTTACGATACGATGTAAAAAACCCTTTTTTTATGTCTAGCTAGCAGCATCTCACTTAAGCATAATCGGCGTTCAATATCTCTCTCTTCTTTAAACTAAAGAAGTAAACTAATATTTCCCGCAAATGACACTTACTTGGCTCAAATTTTTACATTTTCAACTTATAAAAATTATATTTTACCAATATAAAATCAATAATAATAGGTTATGTTGTTCTTGAATGTCCAAACTATTTTTTAAGCCGGTTATCATCTGCGAAAGCTAACCGAAACTCCGTGGCACGCCATCTATAATAAAACGGCGGAAACTTATTTGTACTCCTAATAACTTAGGAAAAAAATACTTGTCAGCGTTACTTACCAGGTTCTTTCATTATGTCCTCTATTTCCTTCCAAATATTACCTCTTCTTTATGATCATCGTAATGAGGATCTTGCAAATCATAAAGTTCTTTGTATCCTTGAACTAAATTCATCAAAAGTTCTTCATTCATTTTTGTAAACACCACAGGAACACACAAATACCAAAAAACGCAAATATCGTAAAATAAACACGTGCGCGCGTGCACACCAATCCGCTTGCTATAGCACACTGTTGACGGGGCGGCACGGGCCGCATCGCACGGACGAAAATCCGCGTCGCAATAATGCGAGCCGCTGCGGCCCGACACAGTGTGCGATAATTCTTACAAAGTGTATTCAAGCGATTTGAGCGGCTTTTTGCGCTCCGCCCCGACACGCTGCGGCCCGGCATAATGTGCTCGAACCTTAAACAAACAAGCGTGCGCTCGCAGTAGTGGCCTAACGGCGAATGAGGCGAATAGAGAACATAAAAAGTTTAATTTATAATTACAATGTAAAAAAATCTTATTATAACCTATTCAATAAAGAAGTAAGCATGGCTCTTCCTTGTAGTACTTCACTTTGGTTAACCACAGTTGCAGCAGGTGTAGGATCTTGCATAGTTATATCATCCCCATTGTCATGTGCAGCAGGAAGTGGTTGTGGTGGTGGTAAGCCAGCTTGCAAAGCTATATTGTGTAACACACAACATGCCATTGTAATGTTGCTAGCTACATTAGGATGATAGTGAAGAGCCCTGTCTCTAAGCAAACATCTCCACCGTGCCTTGAGTAACCCAAAAGAGCGCTCAATGCAGTTACGTGCTTGCACATGCTTTTGAGTGTATCGTTCTTCCCTAGATCCACGAACTGCATTAAGGATAGGTGTCATAAACCAAGGGCGTTGTGGATATCCAGAGTCACCTGTAAAATTAGTTTAAAAAATAGTTAGACACTGTAAAACTCCTATAGATTAGATCTTTCTACTATTACAAATACCTACCTAACAGCTACACTTGTTCATTATTTTGATGAAGTTCACGCATATACGAGTAATAATTCAACTCTACTTGAAGACCATATATGTGAATCATGTTTGGCTCCACCAAACTTTGCATTCACATTTAAAATACGCAGATTACTATCACAAATCTGAAAATAAAACAAGAAGTGATTTATTTATTTGTAATCTGCTATACATACAGTATAAATTAATAATATATCTACCATTTGAACATTTAGAGAATGATACCATTTTCTATTATAAAAAAGATGCTCTTCAACATTTGGCTTTAACAAAGCTACATGGGTACAATTTATGCACCCAATTACACCAGGCAAGCCAAATCTTCTTTGGAACCTTGAAAAGTAATATCTATGTTTATTTCATAACATACACTTAATAATTAAAATATTGTTAAATTGTTTAAGTGTCACTCTTGTTTTATAAATGCTCTGTCTTGTCGTGTTTTCGGAAACTCAATCCATTTTGCCATGACAGCAGGGTTCAGGGGATGTTCAGGCGAATTTCGGTCTTTTCTATAAGAACCATTCTATTGGTTTCGGTCTTTCGCCACTTGAAACCCAAATTTTTGACGATTGTCTTTAAGCTCGTTTTAGCACCTCGAAAATTTATATCCCGTTTGAGTTTCGCTAGTAATTTGTTTATTGTCGGCATTTCTTTTTCGGTTTTGTGGAAGTTGTGTATGCATCTTTTTATTACTCCTTGGTCAAAAAGATCTATATCAGTAATAGGTTTTGATTTTGACCTTTTTTTAGCAGTCGTGCGGAATACAGAAAGTAAGCCCGAAATATTGCCTTCAGTTGCGATCCGCCGTACTGTGCGTTGGGACACACCAGTTGCGTTAGCAACTCTTAAATAAACTTTATCTACATCTTTTACGCCTTCTTCTTTTTCTTTTTTCATATACTGCGTTAAATCGTAAATATTTTTTCTCGCCTGGCGATTTAACACACGATTATGTTTTGGTGGCATATTTGGCGTATAATATATAAGTGCCAACTGACACTTGCAAATGACACAAGTAAAACAAACTTAACACTAAACAAAAAAGAACTTAACAATAATAATAACAATGAACAACAATAACAACGAAAACTTTTGAAACCGACTGTGCTCAAGACCGAGACAGCGACACGAACACGACACCGATGCTAACGTGTGACTGAGACAAAATACTGTACCGAGCATTGCCGAATAAGCGCGAAGTAACCAAAAAGGGATGTCCAATACGCGTGCCTGAGGATGTTGTTTGATCGATGTCTATTCAAATCGATTGAAATTAAGTCATGAAAAAATATATTTTTTTTCAATTTTATAAGGAAGTTTTAAAATTTCTTAAACAAGCGTTACTCAAGTAGACGTTAATAGATAAGTAATATTTAAGTAAATCATGTCTTTCAACTGAGAAAATAAAATTTTAATGTTTTTTTTTTATTAAAGTCGAAATCTCGTTTATTAACTACAAAATTCACTAATATTTGTAAATCTATTTCGTTTAATATCTTATACAAACAAAAATCAATAACTTCTAAATAAAACTAATCGATTACGATATTTGATTGAGTAAAGGGTCGATTGTGTTTACTGATGATCAATCTCTAGCCTAGACCACCGCCCCCCGTACCTCGCCTCATGCCACCATATTGTTCCGAAAAAAAGTCATTGCGTAGCCATCTGCGCGACACAGATTAAAAGATATGTACATTAGGGTGTCCCGTCAATGTATGGGATTTTTTTTTAAAGCGACGGCTACGCAAGAGGTATCAAAAGTTGCGTTTTTGTGAATAGATTACAAATATAACAAAATTTAATTAAATATTTGTCATCTTTAGGCCTCTACCGATCCTAGAAGTTTTTCAAATTTGCCATTTTTAGAGGTTTCGAACATAAACTATGAATGATACAAAAATAATGTTTTAAAGGTTTTAATCAAATTTATAGGTACTACAAAGACACAAGGTAATGTTCAGTAAAGTTTAAATACTTATAATTAGTGCTTATTTCAAATACGAAATTGGTTCTTGTGGCCAAAATTAGGCATTTCCGCGCGAGATTTTAATCTGTTTCTGATTAAACCATCCCGAGCTAGCCTCCGTCACTAGCTTTACACATCTTTCCACTGATTGTGTATGACAGGGGAAATGAATAACATCGAAGCTTTGTTCTTTAGCCTTAATTCTCAGTTCGTCGTCAGACATCTGTCGCAAAATCGGTGGAGCGGATATCTCACACTCTTGCCAAAATATCAAATCGATGTAATATCGCGCATTGAAGTTAAGTTTTGGTACTTTAAATACCCTGCGAGTATTGCTTATTTCTGCTTCTCTTGCCTTTAATATTTTGCGAGCTGCAAGCTCTCGAATATGCTCTCTGTCGTCGAATAGCATGGTAACAAGTAAGTTTTCAGGGTGAGCAAAAAAAGCGTTTCTCTCGATCACTGAATTCACAATAGATCTTTGCTTATCAGGCAAAAATCGGGAGTATGTAACCATTTGAAAAATATGATTGGCTCCATCTTTGAATGATGAGTTTTCCTTAATGAGGAACCAAACTGGAGCATAAACTTTGACCACATAATTGACAAGCAGCTTTAAATTATTTGATGGCGAAACAGTACTTACATAAAGTCTGAGTATGCGATTGGCAGTAGTTAGCCATCTTGAATGCGCCATTTTTCCAGGTTGGCGGCTCGCTAACTCAGGGGAACAAGAACCAGTCGTCACAGCATGAAATATTTCATACAGATACTTTTGATCCGTACTTAGTTCCTTCACAATGTCATCAGGTAATTCGAGCAAATTGCCAGCCACTGCACAAAAAGACACTAGTGGTTTACTTTCACAAACATTTAGCTGTTTTCCAATAGGTCCTGAGTATTCTTTCGGCCCAGATGTGCTACCATCTAGAGACATAAGCAAATGGCGAAGCGGTAATTCATTTGTGTGAAGCATACAAACACACCATTGTAACGGTCTCTTCAAATAGTCTTTCAGGTATTTAATGACACCTCCTTTCCAACCTGTATTTGTAGGAGTGCCATCGCAACCCACACAACTTACTTCTTCTAAGTTCCATCCTTGATTTTCTAACAATTCTATAATAGAAGTGACAATCCCTTTCGCAGTACCTCGACTCGGCGTCGTATGTCCCAAGTAAATAGATCCCGGCTCTGTAAGAACTGAAATGTGTTCTTCTAAGATTTCTTTTCGGTGGTACCGGCTGTCTATTTTATTGATCTTGAGAGTTTTATCTTTTCGCCCATCGAAGTAGATACTCTTTATAATAATTTGATCGATGTCTTTGCTGGCTTGGGTACGTGACTTTGAAACAGCTCTGTGAATCTTATTTTTATCAATCACAAGGTTTAGATCTTCGGAAGATACCATTCCTACGTCAACTAAGACTGCTGAAGCGACTGCAGCTGCCGAACGCGTTGATAGTCCGTATCGATCACATACCTTAGCTACTGTTGGCAGCGTCAGAGTGTTCCGACTAAATGAATTAGATGGAGACTCCTTTAAGTCACTTTTAGTAGAAGGTTCTATTGAAAGCGACTGTGAACGAGGCGGCAACACGCGTACCGGTACAGTATCGGTTTGTGAAGTACTCGGAAAACATGCTTGCTCTGTCCGCTTCAAATTTTCTTGTCTTTGATGTTTCTTTAAAAGCCTTGCAGTTTCTTTTGCGTCTACGCCGCTTATTGCCATTTTCCTATCATTTCTTTGGTCCAGTAAAAAAACAAATGGGAACTTTCTTGGGTTTAGTGCAGGAACAATTTTCAAACGAAGTGCACTTACAAGCAGCGATGTCAAAAAGCTTATTTGACGATTCCAAAAAGCACTTAACTTTGTTGTCATAGCTATCGTTTCTCTTACTTTTAGGATATTTTATTAGTGATAAATATTTGTTAAAATATGCGGTTAGCAGTTGAGTAACCCGTACGTTAGAAACGATGGGAATTGAAGCTTTGGTCCAAATTGTGTTAAGTTTTCCAGAAACTATTATATATATTCACTTTTAGTAAATAAAATGCACTTAATAACGTCTTTTATAACAGGTAATTGGCGATCGTCAAGTTCTTTATAAGGTCCCAATATAGTACAAGTAGTCTCACTTCGCCTTGAACACATTTTTATGATTAAGTAACGCAAATTACGTTTTTTTTTTCAAAGAAGAATAGAACAACTCCTTACAAGAGTAAAATCGAAATAGAATTGAGACGAACTGTCTTGTTGTAGAAGTAGCGCACGTACGAAAATCAAGTCAAAACATGAATTTTGTAGGAATTTTGCAAGTCCGATCCAAACCGATTGATCGCTAAAACAACCTGTCGATACTTGCAAATCATAGCCGAGGCTTTTCTTATTGATAAAATTACAAGACAAAACAGGATTGATTCATAAAACATAGAATATACGACATTGACTACAAGGTTGTTTTTGCGAATTTTCAGTAAATAAAAATGCTGGTAGAGCCCTAAGGATATTTTTAAATATTTTTTGAATTATTTTTACGCTAATCTACGCCTAACAGCGCAACTTTTGAGAGGTCTTAAGTAGCTAAAATAAGAATAAAAAAATTTCGGGACACCCTACTGCACATGTAACACATTTACTTAATTGTGTCGGTTCCACAGTCGGTCGCGACTTTTGTGACTTCGGCGCTTGCTTTCTCGTAGACGGTTTATGTAACGAAGCCACCGTCTTACGAGATTCCGTATCCGAATGACACGAGCTGTCGCTATCTTCGCTGTATGAGCGATCGCGGCCACGAAACTTCCCGCGAGCCGTGTTTACTGCCCGCGGTTTTTGTTTATTAATTTTGCGATCTTCCAGCGCCGTTTCATATGCGAACATAGCGCCACATCGATCCGCCGTGAGGTTTAAAATTGCGCTAAAAGTTCGAGCTCGGGGGCGCCACTGTGCTCCGACCTGAACTCGTACCATTTATATTTTAGAATAATACTTAACTTATCTACTATTCTATTTACTAACCCGGGCGAATATAGGTATTGCGGTTGTTTGAGTGTTTTTATTGCCGCTACCGTATTCGCAACTTTGCTCGCGAAACTACATAAGTTGCGTCCATCGTCGGACATGCGTTGGATATTTTCTAATTCGGATAGGACGAGTAACTCCGGCCTGCCGTATCGTCTTTCTAACGTATCAATTATTTCGTACGGATCCGAGACTGTATATAATAATGCCCTAGTGGTTTCGCGGGCCGCGCCTCGCAGCGCTTTTCGAAGGCGGGCCACGTTTTGAACGTCTGTAAACTAGTCCTCCGTGTCATTATAGACCGCCTTAAATGACATCCACTCCGCTATTGTCCCGTCAAAATGGGGCAGTTCGTGAATGTACTTTGGTACCGCTGAGCTAGATTTGTTGGAGTTAACCGCTTGCACTATCGCGTTGGCTAGCATCGTCATGTCTTTAACATTATTATGCGACGTGTTCGCGTCTACGCGTGGTTCGCTCCTACTCGCTCCAAGTGGCCGTATGGGCTGTCCCGAGGTTTGAGCGTTGTTTCCTATTTCCAGCCTACTAAATATGTGCTGATCCGAGATCCATCCTTCAACACGAGACTTTTCAACATTAGGCGGTTCCGCGCCGTTGGAGCTTTCCAGTTCTATTCTGGCTATCTCCGAACGACTTAAGGCAGCTGCGGACGCCGCCCTAGCCTGTGCTAACTCGGAATTATGCAACTCTAATTCGGCTTTTAATACGGACAATCGACTACTCGCTCGGTCCGAGGGGACATTTACTACTGTGGCCGGCGCACTTACGACTTAAGTATCTAAATCTGCCGTCGGGTTTTTATCGCTGGCTACTCTGTGGGCCCTATCGGTATGCGTGCTGCTGTTACCGGACGACTCTTCTGTGCCGGTGCCTTTACTCCACGTTTCTGTTTCCGTCGAGCCCGTTTGGCCCGACTGTGGCGTGGCGTCTGTTACGGGCGTCGACTTGCCGGAACGTAACATTCTTGAATGTTCCATTGCGCACGAGGAGTCCCTACGCCTAATAATTACTTAAAACTAACACTTTCACTTTCACTTGTCACTTTCTACTGTTGAACTGGTATCTAACTTGCCTCACAGCCTGGCCGAACTCCTACCGCGGTGATGTCGGACCAGGAATGGGAACGATTTAGGTAAGGAAGGGTAGGAACCTCCCGGCAGAGTATGCGGGCGCTTACGGGTGCATCAGAGTGTGGCGGGAATGTCCACACTCGTCGTTGCGTGCCAACTTGTGGCTCCAAAGCGGTCCACACCTTACCGGCGGGGTCTGACTGTTACACCCGTGAAGGTTTGGTGCCCCGCTCAAGCAGGTTGAGATAAGTTCCCGAGCAGGGCGTTTCAGTCGTCTTCTGATGGCGAGTGTTGTTTCTGGGTGGGGGAGGGGAGCAATGCCTGCTAAGTGGGGGAATTTTGAGCGGTCGGCCCGCTCAAACATCCCAGTAGCAAGCGTGTTCACGAAAGTCTCGATGGGTTCCCATTTGAGGTCATCGGTGGATGGTGGTGTTCCTGAGGTATCTGGGTGCAGTCGACTGTCAGGTGGAGACAGCTGTTTTCTACAGCTTGGAGGCGTTGGCGCATCGACCCCGATGTCAGGTTGTACCAGGCCGGCCCGGAGAAGGTAAGGCGCGACCTGATATACATTCTATAGATGCCGAGCTTCGCTCAGAGTGGCAGTCTTGATGACAACAGGGGACGCAGCCTCGTCCTCGCCAACTTTGCTTTCGTGGTGATGGTTTCCACGTGGTGCGACATTATCAAGTTCCTGTCGATAGTGACACCCAGATATTTGACTTTGGGAGACCAGGGGATGTCCTCCCCCATCAGATTTATCTTCGGTGGCAGGAGTTTCCTGCCGGTTATTAGCGCCTGAGTCTTGGCCACGTTGCATTTGAGGCGCCACTTTTTCAGCCAGATCGGAAGTGCTTCCAATGTCGGCTACAGTTTGCGGGCAGCGTGGTTGGCGTTCCGGGAACTGGAGAAGAACGCGGCGTCGTCGGCGAAGAGTGCCAGTTTCACGTCTCCGATGACGGGCATGTCGTCCGTGTAGTGGGCGTAGAGGGTTGGTGACAGGCAGCTTCCCTGTGGGACTCCTGCCAAGATTCCCTTCTCGCTCGATGTGGCGTTCCCATCGGCCACACAGAAGGATCTCTGGGAAAGGAACGACGCGATGATCTCGACGATTCCTTCGTGGCAGGAAGGTAGTCGACAGTTTGTGGATGAGGCCGTCATGCCACACCCTGTCGAAAGGCCTTCTCCATGTCAAGCATCACGGCCGCCGTGTGTCCGCCCTTGTTCAGCCATGTGGCCATATCGAGTAGGACGCGGGTCAGCTGTAGTGTGGTGGAGTGCTCCTGTCTGAACCCGAACTGCTCCTCCCTCGGGTGGATGTGGGTGTGGATCCTTCCCAACAGTAGACGCTCGAAAAGTTTCGACGTCGTTGAGAGAAGGGTAATGGACCTGTAATTTTCGGGCCTCCTCAGGTCTTTGCTGGGCTTGGATAGGGCGATGACCCTGCCTTTTTTCCAGACTGGTTGGGAAGTGGCCGGTTCTGAGAATGCCGTTAAAAAGTTGGGTAACGGCGATTAGTGACTTGCGGGGTAGACGTTGCAGAGCTGCGTTGGGGATGCCATCCTCACCGGGTGCCTTCCTTGGGTTGGTTCTGCGGATCGCCGTTGCGACCTCCGTAGGGGTCATTAGTGTGACAACTATTTGGTCATAGGGGGTAGAGAGGTAGGTCTTGGTTGCCTCTTCTATCCGCCGTGTGTGGTCTTCGTCTTGGTCTGCGTGGGACATGAACTGCCTTTCGAGGCTGTGAGCGATGATCTCGAGGCTCGGTCTTGTGCTTGGTACCGGCAGAAGGCCGTCGTGTGCGAAACAGGGGGCGTGTGGAGGTAGGCTCTGCAGATAGTTTCTTGCAGAGCTGGTGGATGGAGGGTTGCTCGTCCTCGATGGTGAGCAGGAAGTCCTCCCACGCATCGCCTCTATGTTCCCACAGTGCGGCCTCAACCTTGTTGGTGGCTTGGTTGTACCGGGCTTTTGGCCCTAGGGTGTCCTAGTACGTTGCCAGCAGTTTTTTAGCTTCGCGCTTCTCCTCTAGCATTTTCCGGATTAGGTGTGGCAGTGGGTCCTGTCGGTCTCGGATCTCGGCCTGGTGCTTGAGGAGGCGCGCAGTGCTGTCTGTAGTGCTTCTCGATATTTCGACCGCCGCTGCGTCGACTTCTTCCGGTGTCTTGACTAGCGCCGGTCGCTCGAACGCTGCCAAGGTTTGGTGGAAGGTTGCCCAGTCCGTGTGGACTAGGCTCTTGGGAGGGCCGGTTGTTGTAGCGGGCTCTCTAAATACCAGTAGGACTGGTCGATGGTCCGAGGGAAGGTCTGTAAGCACCTCTTGTGTTGGAGGCGCTCGCAGTCCCCTGTACACAACGATGTCCAGTACGCTATCTCTATGCGGGCCGACCGGGTCGAGCCGTGTTGGCTCTCGGGGGCCCGCTATCTCATAGTCGTACGCGCTGGCATCGCGAACGAGTTGCTCGCCCGTGGTATTGCTGGTGGTGTTCTGCCAGGCCTGGTGTTTGGCATTCAGGTCACCCGCTACGATCGTCGATGTTGTTGGAGGTGCGGTTAGTAGTAGGTCGCGGACCTCTTGGACTCGAAGGGGTCTTGAAGGTGCCCGGTATGCGGCGTACAGGCGCATCTCACCTACGCCCACCTGGATGTCGACGCCGAGGGCGTAGAGGGTGTCGAGTCTTTTGGGTTCCACGGCTTGGTGTACTAACGTCCTCTTCACCAGGACAGCCAGTCCACGGTAGGCTTCTCCTTGCGGCGTCACCTCGTTCTGGCGGTACACGAAGTAGCCCGGGATCTTGAGCTGGAGCTTGGATTTGAGGTGCGTCTCGCTGATCAGCATGACGTCGACCCGCTGCTCTTTGAGGAAGAGGCGTAAAAGGCTCACCTTTCCCTTCAAGGAGTCCGCGTTCCAGTGTACCACTCGAAGACTATCCATTGGAGGGGAGTGATTGCAGTAGTCCGGTTGTATTTATTTCGCCAGTCCTCACACGCTGTGCAAACAGCGTGAGGAGGGCGACGAGCTGGTCCCTCTCGGGGTCCTTATTCGGCTCGTCCTCTCCCGCTTTGGTTGTGGAGGGATCTGGGTTTGGTTTTGCCGTCTCAACTGTCGCGGCCCTTTTGTTGCGGCGCCTCCGTTTTTTTTTGGCCTTCTGGTTGTGGTGACCCGGGTTGGCTGCGGCCATTAGGGTGGCTGGGGCCGAGTCGCCGACGGTGTTGGGTTGTGCGATTGTCTTTGGTGGGCCTGTTTTGGGGATCAGGCCCACTTTCTTGTTGCGGGCTTCACGCTTGTAGGCGGGGCACGTGGCGCTGCTCGCAGGATAAGGTCTGGTCTGATGGTGGCTGATCTTTGGGGCGAGGGCAGGCATGCGCCTGCATCGCTGCCGCATCGCACACAGGCTAGGGGCCAATGGCAATTGTGCGAGCTGTGGCGGAAGCCTTGGCACCGGTGGCACTGAGAGGGGCCCTTTTTGCCTCGCCAGGCCTCGATAACGACGCCGGGCATGAGCAGGATCTCGTCGATATCGTAGGCTTTAGCGGCAGCTGAGGTCTTCTCCACCTCCGCGAAGAATATACATCCGGGTCTGCCAGTGCGGGCCTGGACGTGTTTGGCGTACTTGACCGGCACGCCCTTGTCGGTCAGGTCTTTTATGATTTTTTCCGCGGGGTTGTTGGCTGGCAGCCCGCGAATGGCCATTTTCAGTGGTTTCAGGTGAGGCGGAGCGATGGCGTAGTAGGGCGCTTGTTCCTGGCCTAGATCATCTAGGTACGCTTGGATGACTCGGAACTCAGCGTCGTCCTTCGGCGTGAATTTAAACCCTTGCCCGAAGGGTCGTGCGTTTGGGCGATGGCGTGTGGGTGCTGCGGAGGGCCAGCTGGGTGCTGGGTAAGTTCCATCGACGATCGTTCGTCGCTGGTACCTCCCGAGTGCAATCGTTGATTAACGATTGAACGTGTTCTGTGAGAGAGTCGATCGCCACTGTAACGTCCTCGGGGCTAGTGATGTTGTCGGGGATTTTGTCTAGATGTACAGACGAGATCGACTCGAGTTTCGTCCCAAGCCGTTTCCAGTCTGTAATCCGCCTATTAGGGGTGTGGCCTGTGTCTATGGGGCCTAGTCTAGGTGCGAATTCTATGACTACAGGTCTATGATCTGATGTTAGTTCGTGGTGTACCTCTATAGAACACAAGCGTAGGTTTGTGTTCTTTAGAAGTGCCACGTCCAAGATGTCTGGTCTGTGCGACACGTTAGTTGGGAAGTGAGTTGGCTCTAATGGAGTTATGATATCGAAGTTTAACGTTCTTGATAGCGACTCCAGGGTTCTGCCTCTGCTGCTAGTTATGTGGCAGTTCCACAAGGTGTTTTTAGCGTTAAGGTCGCCAGCTATGATGACTGAGTTGCTCAGATCTAACAGTGCCCTGAGGTCGCTCTCAAGTAGTTGTCTTGGCCTATTAGCAGTGGAGCTAGGTGACAGGTAGGCTGACACTAAGGTGATGGGTTGGTGTCCAGTCATGCCCAGTCGGCAGACCGAAGTCTCAATGTACGTCAGCGTGGGCGGATCCATAGGTATGCAGTGCAAGGACCTTCGGTAGTAGATGAGTGTCCCACCTAGGGGAGAGTCCTGCCTATCATTGCGGACCACACAGTAGTTCGCAATGTTAGGGTTTCTCTGAGATGGTTTAAGGAAGGTCTCTTGCACCAACAAGATGTCGAGTTGGTGTGCCCTAAGGAATTCAACTATCTCGTCTTTTTGTTTCGCAATGCCATTGGCGTTGAAAAACCCTAGCTTGAGTGAACGTGGTTTGACTCTGCCTGTGGGTGTGTTATCCATTATGGGTTAACTTTAAATGTACCTAGTTTCTCGAGCACGCTCGAGTACCTAATACTAACATTTAGGAGGGCCAATGGATTGCCCTCGTTTTCTTTGATAGTTTTAGCTAACTGACGTACTTCGCTAAAATCAATTAAGTTAGCGAACCGTGCTACAAGGGCTAGATCTGGATCTACGCCTTGTGGAGTGGGGTTTCTGGGTGGACTGGGTGGTTTGGGTTGGGTCGGGAGAGGTTTAGGGTGTTCCACAGTTGGCTTGGTGGGCTCGCTAGGAGTCCGACCTGGCCGCTGTGGCAGTGAGGGGAAGGCCTTCTCCTTAATTAAGGGGGAGGCCCATGGATTGATGAGGGGGGGGAGGGGCTGGGCGGAAGGCAGAAGAGGGAACAGAGGTTCCTGTCGGGCGAGGAGGCTGAGGGCCTTTCGCCTTTGGGGGTTTAGGCGCGCGCGGACACCCGCGATAGTTCGCCGGGTGGCCTGTTGCGCCGCAAAGGACGCTACCGGCTCCGTGCATTGGGCCCTGTCTTTGGGCCTTTTGCACTCCGCTGTCGTGTGATCTTCCAGGCACTTGACGCACCTGGGGCGCGCAAAGCAATTCCTGGCGGAATGGCCATAAAGTTGGCAGCGGTGGCATTGAGATAGACCACCTCTACGGTGAGGTGGTTCTATCGTGATACCGGAGAGCCCGCAGAGGGATGACATCTTAAAGATGCCCTTCCCCGCGGGGGTGTCATCTAGCGACACGATAATCATGTCGTAAATGAGATGGGTGCGGCCTTTAACCATCCGGTGGACTTCATGCACCGGATAGTTTTGGCGGAGGAGGGAGTCTTTGATCTCAGAGGGGGAGAGCTCCTTCGGGACGTTGCGGATGACTACACGTAGTAGTCTATCCTCTGGGAGAGTATAGGTGTGAAAGGATACTTCCCTTTCACGGAGGAGCCTTGATAGGGCTCTGTGGTCACTAGAGGTGGCCACTGAAACTTTTATGCCCTGTTGGGTACTGCGGGCGGAGTGGTACGTGATGCGACGTTCGTTGCACCACGTAGAAATGCAAGTCCATTTGGACTTGTCCTGGACGTAAATTGGGGGAGGGGTGGGCTCCTTGTGAGCTGGAGTTGCAGTCTCTTTAGGGGCGGGGGATGGTGCCTTCGGCTTTGCAGGGGCGGGAGTAGTGAGGGAAGGGCGGGGGACAGCCGACATCGGTTTGTCGGTCGGTCTGTCCTCGTCAGTTTTGGGGCCTTGTTTGGGCCCTCCTTGTTTTTCCTGCTACGCTTTCTTGATGAGACAACTGTGTAGTCTGAGCTACACGAGCTGTCTGATTGCGAGCCTTCGCTTGCGGACTCTTCGCTACTAGTAGCTGTTGTGTCCATCGCGTTCGATGGACAGGCAACCCTATCGCTAACACTGGCGGGCGAGGCGGGGCTATCGGGCGAGGCGGGGATTTTGTCGCCATAGCGGCGTTTTAAGAAGGCGTAGACCTCCTTATCTTAAAGGAGGTCTTCTAAATTTAGGGCCTTAAGGGCCATTTTTAGGCCTTAAGGGCGATTTAAAAATATTTTTTAGGAACGCTATCCCCGGGTGGATCGGCCCGGGGGTGAGTGTTTTCTTCCCTCCCAACCGGGATAGGTTGGGAGGATGTACTTAAAATAGGGTGAGCCCTAAGCTTGTATCCCTTCGCCGATCTTATTGTGCGAAGGGTTCACACACGAAGCGAACAACACCCGTACCGGTCGAAGGTGACGTAAGCGACGGCTGCGTCGTATGAGCAGCAGCGGCGGGTGCGGCGAGGTGCGGCGAGGTGCGGTGAGGTGCGGCGTGGCGTGATGAGGACGGGTCGGCGCGGAGTGAGACGTCCGCTCGGGGCGTCTGCAGGCAGCCGAATCAACCCGTGTATGTAGGCGCGGGCGCGCTCATTTTATACCTTTGCCGCGGACGCGTCGCAGGCGCGCGCATGCGCAGTGTTATAGTGTATAGTGTTCGAAGAAGCAGCGTATTTATTTATTGTAAACATTGATACACAAAACATATAAAAGGAATCTTATTACAACATAGTCTTATTAGAATATAAGTTAAGTACAAACAATAGAGGTATAATCTTATTAGATTCTAAACTATAAAACAAGAGGACTTAAACTTTATAAATAACTAAGGTATTTATTTTACGACTAACTTAAATACTTAGCTGTTATTTACAGGTTTCCTTACAAATTTTCTTTACTCGTTTGGTTGTAAGTCGAGGCACAGTATTAGCTGCTCTTTATGAACGAGTTTTATTAGCTGGCGAGTCTAACGGCGACAAAACGGATGAAACTGAATGAAGCATGAAAGGGAGTAGTTGTTGAGGTTGACCAGTAGGAAACATTTCTTGAATAACAGGAGATAGTGGTACAGTATCTTCATCGGATAAAATTGGGGTTTCTCGTACTAGTCCTGCATTTTCAGGCTCAACATTTTCGTCTTCATCGGAACTTGAGAAAATGTTCATACGATCTAAAGATGATAGATATGATCTCGGTTCAGAACTACAGTACCTCAAATCGTCATCATCATCATTGGGCTTCTGAAACAACATTTCTTCTTTAGAGGCGCTCCTGCTGTCTGACGAAGGTGCTTTTTCAGGTGGTACCAAAGCCATTATCTTTTGCGTTCTTTGCCATTTTAGCTTCTGAAACAAGCAATGCAAAAAAAACATGCAAAACCGCACCCAAAGCATAACCAAATATGAGATATTTACTAGAAAATTTTAAATTCTATCAGGTATCAGACGAAACTCGAAACAGCAACAAACGAACAACTAAGCTCAATATCTTTTAGGAAAAACAGACGTTCTCGTTTGTTTAGACGTTCTTTTTGGTAAAAAAATAGACCTTATCTATATATTTTGTAAAAAAATATATATAGCAGTTTAATTCAAAAAGAAATATTTAAAAAAAGCGAAATGAAATCAAAAACACAGTTATAAAATAAATCGTCATTATCGCCACTAAAGGGACGGCGTTGTCTGTCAACAACACACATAACACACGTTACTTTTCTGAATACTTCGCAATGTACGAGGGGTGATCAATAAGTAATGATAATCAATATGAAACAGAACTATTAGATTAAAAAAAGTATTTTATTTTTCAACATAGTCTCCTTGCAAGTTACTACATTTAGTGTATCTTTTTTCTAAGCCCATGATTCCCTTAGAAAAAAATTCTTTGTCTTGACCCTCCCAAAATGCCTCTACTGCGGCCATCACTTCACTATTGTCCTCAAATTTGTTGCCCCGGAGGTGTTCTTTGAGCCGAGGAAAGAGGTAGAAGTCACTGGGAGCTAGATCTGGCGAATAGGGAGGGTGTTCGAGCAGTTCGAACCCCGTTTCTTCAATGGCAGCCATTGCAACTGCGGCTTTGTGAGCCGGGGCGTTGTCTTGGTGAAACAGCACTCCAGCGCGCAGTTTACCGCGTCTTTTTGACTTAATAGCTTCTCGCAATCTTCTTATTTGGCCTGCGTAGTAAGAGCCTGTTATAGTGGCCCCCTTTTCCAAATATTCCACCATAATAATTCCTTCTGCATCCCAGAAAACAGACGCCATAACCTTTCCCGCTGAACTTGACACTTTGAATTTCTTCGGCGTTGGTGAGGAAGCTCGTTTCCAAGTCATTGATTGTTGTTTGGTTTCGGGATCAAAGTGGTGGATCCAGGTCTCGTCCATGGTCACAAAACGCGACAAAAAAAATTCTTTATCGGCCTGGAACTTTTGAAGATTCACCCTCGAAATGTCGACTCGTTTCTTTTTTTGCTCGTCGGTTAACATTCTCGGTACCCAACGCGCAGAGACCTTTTTCATATGCATTTTGTTGACAATGATTTTTTGAACGCTGCCATAGGAGATCCCTGTGACCTCAGCTACATGCCTTACGGTCACCCTTCGATCGGCCAACACGATATCTTCCACTTTTTTGACGTTTTCTCCAGTAAGGGACGTGGAATGTTTCCTCGCGATGTTCATCTTCAGTGGAGGTTCTGCCCAGCTTAAATTCCTTTGCCCAGCGTGCGACTTAGCAATTATGCTATTAAATTGTTCGATTGCAATCATTAATAAGGCTTCGAGAATGTGCGGCAACTATGCCTACAATGTATTGCATTTTGGCCCAAAATGCAGAATTTTAACTCTTAGAACGAGATCTGCATTTTTCTTTTCACTGCTGCAGTAGTGATCAAGACATTTGGTGTGATGTCCAAATGCATGATTGCACGAATTAGAAATATCAGTATAGAGTTTATTTATTCTTTCTCCCAATTCCAAAGTTTCTGCTTTATGTTTTTTTTATAGCACAACAAATGACTTTTCTAATAGCGAGTATTCTCTGCGTAGTTAGCATTTTTCTCATAGGCAGTGAGCATTTTGTGTCTTTGCTGATAGAAACTAATTTGTTGCACAGATTCCGTAAAATATGATTCCTGCATTAGATTTTTTCCACTGTAACATCTTTGTATGGCCTTTCTTCGAGAATCTTCGAGTAGGTGCTTGAATCGCCATCTGCGAGCAGTCTTCCGTAGATAATGTTGTACATCTCTACTGATTTTCTGAAACCCTCTGCTATTATTTCGGCCTCCATGCCAGATGAGCTACCAGTATAATTTTTGAAACATTTATGTTCACTTGGAGCTATGCCTTTATTCTGAGCACGGGCTCAGATACAGCAGTACTTGTTCCTAACTCCTAAGAAAAGAACATCTCTAAACGTAACCTTTGTTTGATAGATTTAGTGTTTTTGTCACCGACTTCGAAGCTTGACCTTTGTTTGATTGATGTGGTATTTTTGTCACCGGCTTCTGAAGCTAAAGTTATTTTTCACTTTTTAGTGTTTTTCTTTTTGTGTTCGATTTGTGTTTATTTTGATGTCGGTTTTTTTTTTGCAAAAAAGTTTTCTTTATTTTTCCATGTTTATTTGTAATATCCTACAAAAATATTTGACAAGCATATAAACATCCAAGCGATTGCAGCCATCACGACCGATTTACCGTCTATTTTTGAAGAATCAGAATTTTTGAAGAGTTCCATTGTATATCTCCAAAGTACCTCAGGAGTATAATTTTTCAAATAAAAAAAGAACAATCAAAATCCATTCATAATTGGTGAAGTAATAGCGTAACAAACACACAAAAAAAAACATAATAGTCGAATTGATAACATCCTTCTTTTGGAAGTCGGTTAAAAATAGGTTTTAAATACCTAATGGACATACTTAAATAGCTTCGAAATCGACATAAATATATTTCATCGAACAAACACAGACACCAACTAAAAGCTTGTGTTTATTTTGCATATACTATACCAAACTATACTGCCCGCGTTACTTATGAGTGATCAAAGAATTATGGAGAATGTAATTATTATTATTTTAATATTTTTATAGAATACTAGAGTTTTGGAAGATATCATAATTACACTAGGGGAAAATGATCAGAATTTTTTATTGTGAAGAATAATATAACAAAAAGCAAAAGTAAATAGCTACCTATTATATATCTTATTTATTACCTCCTATCCTAATAATCTAATAAAGTACCTACTATGAATTTTTGATATCGTCGCGTCATATCTAGGTACTCGGCCCGCGAAAGTGGGAGTAGGTAAACGAATTTAGATCCGTTTTCTCTCAAAATAAAATCTAACATCGCCTGTACAAACTTTATCGAACGTATGAAATGTTGTATTTTTTAACTTTTCATATAAAACAAACTGGTAACTCACAACTTACCTTCGACAATTAGCCATCTTGTCCATTTGTAACTTTTTTTAGTCTTTAGAAGTCTTTTTAATGTTTTTTTCTTGTTACCCATTTCACCTTTTATTTCGAACAACAACAACAATTATGATTGAATCGATAATAACTCGACGCGCCTAAACACTTGAGCGCAGTCCTCTCGTCTCAACGGAGCGGTAGCGACTGATGTCTGAAATATAAATAAGCTTGAAGCTCCCGAAACGTGCGACGGACGATGACTTCTTGCGCGGAATAAAAACGTAGTATTCGCCAAAACTGTTATATCGTCAAAATCCAAAACTAAAAGGAATTACATAAAATGCCTAAACAAAGCCTTTACTCTTGTATAAGTATAATTAATTATCAAATTTTTGTCACAATAGGCATTACCATATCGAGTACAAAACGGAAAAATATTAGAATTAGAGGTTACTTCGTGATTTTTTTCTATCGAGGAAATGTTATTATTTCATGTTTTTGATCAAAGTGAACCCTCGGAAATATCATGTAGTTATTCATACATTTTTATTTTAAGATTTGGTCCGGAATTTTTCATGTAAAATCAAAAATAAGATTGGTAATTTTGCTTTATACGCCCTCTTAATTTTGCAGGTTTATTTTGTTTTAATAACTCCAGCAGTTCAGCTTTCAATAAATTAATGTCAGCTTCTACACCTTTTCTTTGTAACCCCGCCACTAAATCTGCCTTTTTGCTTGCTTGAGTAGGTGCCTTATCTATTTGAACTGAATGATAAGGTGCATTATCCATAATTATTGTGCACTGTTCGGGGAGGTTTATTAACAACTTAGTAAACCACTCTAAGAATTTATTTGCATCCATTTCTTCGTGGTATTCTTTTGTACTTCTGGACTCGAAGGCAAATCATTTAGTATAATATCAAAATATTCATATTAAATATCAAAATAAAGCTAAAACTAAATGTGATCAGATTTTGTTTTTATATGTATTATATATTAATAAAACTCTGTATATTATATTAAATACTAGGTTTTAATTACTATAAAAGCACACGTAAATTCAATGAACTTCAAACCGGGGTCGAACACAGATTATATATTACTCGTAGTCATCAACAGCCTTTAATAGTCCACTGCTGGACATAAGCCTTTCCTTAGAAAGGAGGTTTTGGCCTACTATTACTACTACTCGTAGTAGTGTTATTTTATTCTTAGGATTGTATGATTCATATTGTATGATTTTCTACACTAAAAGATATTACGATTTTGTTAAAAACTTTAGTCGCTGCCTGCCTGAACTAGGGTAAACCCAATGATTTTATATACAAGATATGTCAATTGTAATGTGTCAAAGATATGAAATCAATATCTTGAATACTTACAAAATGAACTCCTTTTTCATTTAAATGAGATTTTATAATATTTCCAGACTTAAGGCATACGGAAAACAATTTTTCTGATGCATAGCATAAACCTCCCATATCTCTAATCGTAACTAATTTATGGAACCACAATTTTTTATTGGTATATAAAGTGTTAATACAGGTTTCACACTTTAAAGTTTTTGATAATTTTCGCGCAATCCAACCGGAAATATAGCCTGTTATTTGTTTGGCTGATTCTGAACAATTTTCATTATTGAGCATTTCATAAAGAATATTAACATTGTTTTCGAAATTTTTATCACTTGTTGTAGGAGCATCTACAATATTATCAGTTTCCTCTAGAGTACGAAGTCCTGATGAACAATTTATATTTATAATACCTGACGATGAGCACGTGAGTATAGTTCCAAAGGAATACAGTTGCCACTAAAAGAACTGCGTAACTCTAAGTGATTGAATTTTTTTTTGTACAATCCTTTAAATTGAATGGTGTTCGGATTGTTATTGTAACCACCTTGGCGCCGGATAATACCAAAAAAAATTTCAATGTGGTCCTGACTTAATCGGTATGTTGCGATATACCTTAATACTGGTGTATCGTAAAATGGTGATATTGTTGCAGTAACGTAAGTAGTAAAAATATGCTTCAAACTCTGGATGCAAATCAAAAAGCCCAAAAAGCCCGTTTTTGATTTGCATTCAACTATTGGTTTTTTGATATGTTAATAATAATTCTCCTTCCCCTAATTCGCTTAGTTTTACTATAAATTCGTAAGGACAAAATATACTGTTTGGCTTTCTCTAAAAATTCGAATATTTTTGATATTTTTATTTGGACTGATGGGTTTTTTAAAATCATACTGTCCTGAGGATCTGGAGTTTAAAATATCAAATAAATTATTAAATATGGAGATAAATTCTACGGTTGGTTCTTTATTCTTAATTATGGATGAGATTATTAATTGATCACAGAGTTCTAAAGCATGGGCTATACTTCTGCTTAACAAGTGGGTGGCCAATTTAACTTTCATGATTTCGTTTCGCAAATCTATGTGTCGTTGCGAAAGTTTGTTAGCAAAGTTTAAGCCTTCACGGGTTTGAAGCTGATTCAAAGCATCAATTAAGCTCCATTTTATTTCTTTCTTATCATTCCCGAATATGATTTTTTTTTGGTGGTGTTTTTTTTGGCTCGAAGGTGTTGCGAACTAGTTTGATCATATGGCAGGGGTCTAAAACTACAGCAACTTCGATACTACACTCAGCATGTAAAAATGTTGTTTTTAAATTATTTGGGGTATTTAAATTACAGCCTAAGAGATTAGCTGCAGCTAAGTTACTTGGACAACCGTCAAAAGTAACCGCCACCACATCAACACCTGAATCGTAGCATTTACTTATGCAAGTACTGATTAAATTTGCTCGTGTTTCAGCTGAAATAGTTTTTATAAAAAAATAGCCTGCTGGCATCTTCCAGCTTTCATTTAAACCCACTAAAAGGAAAACGTACACTTGTATTGCGATTTCGATATTGGGACTAAAATCAATACCAAAATCAACAAGACCATCAGTTTTTCTACCAGTCCACGTGGTTTGATGCCGAAGTGCCATTTCATCTTTCATCAACACCATTATTTAAGAATATTAGTAAACAAATTTTATTCAAATACACTAATAAATCGAAATATATTGTATGTACTTACATGTGATAGGAAATCTCTTGTTTTATTAATTTTAGAACAATAATTTGTACACTTTCTAAACACACAGGACGGCATTTTCGTAATAATGATATAATTCACTACACGTGACTACTCTGCGTTTGGTTAAGCCTGCTATACATGTTGCTCGAGCTTAGGCCAACGCGAGCGTAGGCAAATTAATACAAGGCAAGTGCTACTGCCTACACGTTCAGCAAGTTTATCGAAAACCAATGCAAATGGCCAATATAGACGAATTTTGAAGAGATGCTCACACGTTGTAGCTTGCATTTTTTTTTAATTGAATTTTCTTTTTACAGAAACAGTATGGAAAGTCAGCTATCTGAGCTTCTTCAAGAACCTGAATCAAAGGAATTTCGAAATTTCGTTCGAATGTCGGATAGCGATTTTGAGTATTTACTCCAGAACATCTCTCCAGCCATCAGCAAACAAATACCGACTTCAGAGAGAGCATACCAGCTAAGATTCGACTTGCCGTGACACTCAGATATCTAGCAACTGGAGACAGTTACAGAAGTTTACATATTACACCTTTAAAATATCCAGTCAATTAATATCTCAAATAATTCCTGAAGTTTGTCAAGCCCTCATTGATGTACTGAAGGATACTGTTAAGGTATGTAAATTAAACTTCACATATTACATATTAATTTATTAACAAAGAAATAAGGACATTAACATTAAAAAAAAACTTATGATATGCAGGTATGCACTTAAAATCAATTTATGGAATATTGCCTCTGGCTCACTTCCTCATTGCTTTAAAAAAGATTGGTTTTTGTAAGATTGGTTAGACATAGACATATATTTATTGCATAAAAACTGTGTACAAATAAAGGTGTTTTTACATATTGGTATCAGGCTCAATGTGTGAATGTGATTAAATACACGTATAGCAGTGATATATGTGCTTTTGTAGTATATGGCATTATTAATGTTCGGTATGTTAATATTGTATTTATATCGTTTGCGAATATTTGTTTTTGAATCCGATTTAAATTGGAAAAAAAAATTGAATTGCATTTTATGAATACGCAGAGCTCCATGATATAGATGCCTGTTAATGTAAGGAAACCCTTTTCTTTAAATAAGATTCGTAGAGATTCAGTTCTTTGCATACTATAAATAATTCGTAAACACTTTTTTTGAAGCACAAACGTTGAATGAGCGTTTGTTGAATTTGCCCAGTAAATCACACCATATGACAACAAAGGATACACATAGCCATAGTTTCAACTAGGACAGATAAGACATAACAATAGCTTGAAATTCTTCTATTAATTTTTTCAACGTGCGCTTTCCAGTTGAGGTTTTGATCGAGTGTGACAACCAAGAAATTGGTTTGCACAACTTCCTCAATGTTTATATTATCTTTGCTGATATTTACTGGTATTTGCCTTGAATTATAATTTCTGAATTGCATAAGTTTTGTTTTTGTGAGGTTAACTTTCAGGTTTATGGACTCTAGCCAATTGTTTATTGTTTTTAACGTAAGTTTTATCTCTTCTTCAAATTCTTGATCATTTAAATGATCATTTGTAAAAAATATGGTAGCATCATCCTCATACAATACACAGGGATGATTTGTTATTTATATAAACTATTTATATAAACTAAAAATAACAAAGGGCCGAGTATGCTGCCTTGTGGCACACCTAAGAGAACTTTTTCAAATCTTGATCGAATTTTCGTGATTGATTTAGAAGAACCATCATAGAACTCTATCTCTGTGGCTTGTTTTCGATTACTCAAGTACGACGCGCTGAAGCGCTGTACCCCTTATGCCAATGCTTTCCAATTGCTTGAATAGAATGTTATATTTCACACAATCAAAAGCCTTTGACATATCTCTAAACAAAGCGCAGCATCGCCTTTTGCAGTTAATACTTTCCCATATATTTTGAAACAATTTGAAAATGGCCAGTGAAGTTGTTTTTCTTTTTTGGAACCCAAATTGATTTGCATTTAAGGTGTTATTACTATTAAAAAATGTGCTTAGTCTTTTATGTATAACCTTTTCAAATATTTTTGAGAAGCTCGGTAATAGTGCAATGGGTCTGTAGTTGTTCATGTCCTGTTTCGATCCTTTTTATGTAATGGTTTAATTATTGTTATTTTTAAATCATCTGGGGAAACGCCTGTTTCAAGCATGAGGTTTAAGTCGTGCTGAATCAATGTCTTCATCAGATAAAACTTGGACTTGGTTATTTTGTTGGTCAGTTGGTTGTTGTAGCTGTTCGTGTTGTGGTGAGGACAATATCATGCTTTGAGTAAATATGTTATTTTGCTCTGGCACAAATATTGGATAGCTATGAGACGAAAATGGCCGTTGTGGTATTTGTACAGGTGAATCTGGAAGAACATAGAATGTTTGAGAGAAAGACGGTGCATTTCAGCCGGTGATGTACTATCAAAAGAACCGGTAGAGCTCATTGCACTCAAGGATGAAGTAGGACGTTGTTTGAGGCTATTTCTAATTCTTTTTGTCAACAATTCATCCAATTCTAACATTACTTCCTGCTGCTCGATAGCTGAGAAATATTTCTTCAATTTGGAAGCTATTAGTTTTCCATACATATCACACATATCTTCCTTTTGAGTAGATTTGTTGGTTAATACGGTATTGATAGTTTTTAATGCGTCTTGCATTTGTTCGGTTGTTTTTTTAAGCTCAGGCGGGTTAGACGAACGACGCTTTAAAGCAGTTCTATTCGAGGGTCGAAAATATTCGATTCATGTCTACCCACATGCTCTTCTGAAGAGTCAATGATGAGGTCAAGGAGCGAAGAATTGCGGTTTGGCATATTATGTGTGGGATTGAGTGGTAGAATAGAAAGATTGTTAGAATTCATGACAGATCGAAGACCGGAAGAGCGAGAATCGTTCTTAAGTAAACAGGTGTTAAAGTCACCCATGACTATGGTGTGACTGTATGAAGGTGTTAAATTTTCTAAAATTGTTTCAAGTGAAGAGAAATAATCTACTCGCAGAGAGGGACTATAATAGATACCGAGAAGTATTTTTGAGTGTTGAAGAACGACTTCTATGAAGATATGCTCGCCAGCATTTGCGGGGGGTGGTTGAGATGACATACTGACAACGGAGAAAGGAATGTGAGTGCGGATGTATATGGCAACACCACCACCACATATCATTGAAGTGTGCCGGAATGCTTTAGGCATTTATATGAATGACATTGAAGTTCCTGGGCACATCAGAGAACTGAGCCAAGATTGTATCCGCAAGTGAAGGAATACTTATGAAACTGGTGTCACTACTGGATACCGAAAAATAATCTTCAGTATCACTGTTATCGGTAGATGAAGTCATTGGTGTAACTTACAAAAGAAAATATGTCTCTTGTATAGAATAAATAATATATATATATGTAACGTAAATGTATTATAAATATAAAATAAGAAATATAAAGTATAATACTTTTAAAATTCTGCTTTAAGACTTCTCCAATCATTTATCCGTCTGCCGGTTGTATGTCAAAAATAAAAAAAGAAACAAAAAACAAAACAAAAAAGCACATGAAAAACAAAGTGAACAATACAAAATACAAAATAACGGCACTAAACAGTATGCATAAACAGTTAATTTAAAGAAACATATTTGAGAAATATTTAAGATTGCGTTCCAATGAAAGTAATGAAGAAGATGTTGGTTCTACAATATGATTATTATTATTGCTAGATTATAATTAATTTGAAAAATAAAGTAAAAAATGAATGGCTGAAAAGGCTAGTACTCATGTCAAGATAAATCAGTCGAAACTTACACAGTGAAATGGAACGCATGGTTATGTTATGACAGCTCAGCAATGAATGACATTATGTGTATTTATAACATCACAGAGTACATTGTAATATACTGAAATAGAGGTATATCTCAATCGCTTTTGGAGGAAATTACAAAACAACGCCATCTGTTAGGAGCGAGCAACAACTTTTCTCTTACTCAACATTTGAAAGGATATATTTATACCTACACATCTATAATATAGGTAATACTTATTGTATACAGTATTGTTTATATTATGTACAAACATACCTATGCCATTAGAACTTTGTAAAATAAAACAATGTAAAAAAAAACGTTTATTTTCTTCTTTTTAAGACTTTTTGTGCATAAATTTCGGCTTTTTGTAACATATCACCCTCGTTCTCAATATTTTCTTTACCTGCCATAACTTTATTAAATCGTTTACAGAGAGCCAAGTGCAAGTTTATTTCACATCGACGGCGAGCGCCTTTAGCGTTGCCAATGGTGGAGATTTCAGTGCGGGCCAATCGTAGCGCCGAACGCGGTCACCGTGACGATCGAGTAGAAGTGAAATAAACTCGCACTTGGCCCACAGTAATTGTAAAGGAAAAATGTGGTAACAAAATTTATTAAAAAAGAAATGATGTTTTCTCTATGTTTGCTACATTCAATAAAATCAAAATCTAAATGTATTAATATCATAGTTTTAATAAACTCTTTTAAATTAGGTATGTGGACGTTTTTGTTGATTAAATATGAAATAATGTCTTGTAAATGAGATATGCAGGTTATGAAATGTATATCTGGGTAGCAAAGCCAGCGACCACCACCATACTCTCTATATTTAATATATTCCAATTCGTCCTCAGTACAGAGGTTGGATTTTCATTTTTTGCAGGACTTTATTTTTGAGTTTTTTTTAGGAAATACCCTGCCATATACTGTAGCGGCCCCATTATTTGTGGACTATTTTTTTCGCTTAATGGCGTAAGAGTAATCTCGTCAAGTTGTAGTAATGGTATTAAATTGTTACTGCTCGAGGCTTTGCCACCCTTAGAAATGACGAGGGCAAATAATGTTTCACAGTCATTAATTTCACAATTTGCGGACGGGGAGTGGACACTAGTAAGTCTGTTAATTACTAGGCTCGCAAATGCACTTTCAAACTTTTCCGGAGTGGGATTTGTATTGCGGTATCCATGGCTCCTTATAGAGCCGAAAAAGTTTTCTAGTTGGTCTTGGTTTAGGTGACGCATCCAAATGGAGCTTACGTCATAACTATTTTTTAGATGTTTAATTAATTTTTGTACACCTTCTAGAGTCCACACCCACCCATCTATAGTCGGCACGTAAGCTTTTCCTTCAAATTTCATACTTTTTAATATTTGTATCGATTCGGTCCATTTAGCTTTATGAGGTGAGGCTGGTGTCACTGAGCCCTGAAGCGGTTTTGCTATGTGGTCACCAGTGAAGCTTCCGTTTAGTGAGTCGAATAGATCGTCAAAAAATAACAGAATGTCTGACGTATCCTCACATTGAGCTGGGAGAATTCCTTTTTCTGTAAAAGAAATATTCAAATGTTATTTTTCTATGAACGGACATGAAACAGACAGTAAAGTACATACATACATACAGTAAAGACATATCTTTCTTCCAACTTTAAGTGGAAATATTTAGCTAGTCCTTTGCAAGCTTGCATTGATATATGTTTTTAGTAAATTAACAGTATAAATAGAATTAAAGTTAATAAAAAACTGCTTGCACAAGGTAATTGTTGCAGACTGCCTTAAATTATAGAAATTAACGCGGATGAAAAGTACCAAAACAATGGAAATAATGAAATGATACAGGCACTAAGTTAGGATTTTTTAGAATCGTGTGGTTTAAAGTGCTAAAAAATTTTTAAAGCTTTCAAAAATTTTAATATAAGTCTACATTTATCAATTTTATCATACAAAATAACTACCAACTCAATGTATAAAAAAAATAATGCCAACATTTCATTTCCAAAAGTCATTTTATAATGATTTCAGAAAATAGTGATATACGTTCCGAGATAATAAAAACTAAAACAACTCACTTTATGTGGATTATACCGAAAGTAACGACATCTATAAGTATCGACTGGCGAAATTACATGACGTACACACGTATTATACGCCTAAATGAAGTGTACGTAATGTTGTTAAAACGTTAGAACAAATAAAAAACCATTGTATTTGGTTTCATTATTTTCGTAACATTCCAAGGATTGTCGACTAAGATTGTACCGCCTGTTATAACATGTATGTAACATCTTGATTAATTGGTGAACGTATATAAAATAATTAAGAACAGGGTAATTTAATAATGTCATTGTATGTTCGGTAAGCATAAAATGTAAATTTAGGGTAAACAGAAATGAAAGTGACATTTAAGTGACCATTTTAGATTACTAACTAGTTTATGCACACTATACAGTCCCTGCACACATACAATTGCAAACAAACAAGCAATGCATACAAAACATTGTTGGAATACCATGACCTTATTTCTTTGCGGCACGCCTGGATTTTGTCGCTGTTGCCTTAGAAGCTGCAACCGGCTTCACTGCATCTTCACAAATAGCACCAAAATCCACCAATTACATGACCCGATGCCGCTTATCTCCAGGCCCCATAACATAGACATGGCCCTCCCGGGTCCAGCACTTGTTTACACCGAATTTCTCACGTGCAGACATGAAAACACCATGCCGCGATTTGGTTAGAAATTCAGATATGGTAAATCCGGTACCCTTCAAATTAGTTTTAGCAAACCATACTGAGTCCCGGGTGGCGATCTGGTTAAATTTAATGAGAATAGGTCTAGGCTTACTTGCTGATGGGCTCCGACTCATCCTGTGGCTTCTTTTTTTATCAGTTACGTTAAAACCACTAATTTTAAGATGTTCGGTGATGATTTTAGAACCCAACAATGTAGTGTCCTCACTCTTGTCCTCGACAACACCATGGAACAGCAACTATTTTCGTCTACTTCGCATTTCCATGTTGTCAGCAGAGTGAGCCAACATTTGCACTTGATTTTGCAGATCACTCAGTGCTTGAAGAACAAACTTCTTGAATGCTACAAAGTCCTCCTGAAGTGTTGATGAAGTGCTGGTATCTTTATGCAGACGGTCTCTGGATTCAAATTCTTCCATGCGATTGTTGAACATCATGTTCATATCAGCAATAGCTTTCAAGAGCGACTCCATAGTGCAGCTTAAATTGACTAGTATTAGTAGTGTGACTTGAAGGTATTAAGGAGATATATCCAGGAGATAACACTTGTACCGGCAGAAGGTAGTGTCAATAACTATAATAAGTCATTAAATTGTACAAAGTTATGATATTGTAAATATATTTTAAATTTTAATTTGGAGCTGAAAATTTACTATGTTTACTGTTGAACTACCCACACTATTTTATTATTTATTATTGTTTTTTAAATGTTATCAACTTTTTTAAATTTTTGGCATAATATTAATATAATTAATAATAAAGTTTTGCAATACAAAAAAAATTTTTTTTTTTCAAATTCCCAATTTTTCGAGCATTTTATAACTACTTACCAATATTCAAAGTTGGGAATGCATTCCTTGTTAGTTTCCTACAGGGTGTGCGATAGCCTAATTCAAAGTGTTGGTCACACAGTCGCACGTTGTTATAAATATATTGAACACCTCTTTTCTGCATTTCACTATTAAGAACTTTCATCCATAAATTAAACCTCTCTTCATTATGTTGAGGATTTGGAAAACGATGTAAAACACCTGGAATGAGTTAGTATTAGGTATAAGCTAATTTTAAAAAGATAGAAACTGCTTCATAAGTCCGTTAGCTGATTTTACACCATAAACTCATATCGGTCCCACATATTGGCATTTATCATACAGATTTCAGGCTCCATAGATCTACTGAGAATTTCCAACAGGAAATTCTTACACATAACACATTATAGAGTGGTAATGAGTAATAAGCACTTAGCACCCTTCGAAAGTTGTATGCCATGGGAGATCTCTTTTTCAGTCAGCAAACAAGGGTATGAATAACGTATTCTAACACCAGCCGGATCGAATTAAGTTTCATCAAAATGTATTTCGCAAACGTTTTGTCTTAAGCTAGTTCTTAGTAAGTCCAAGCAGACTGGGATTTGTCGGCACTAGCAATGACATCCATAAATTAAGCAAATGATCATTCGTGAGCATGCAAAATAGTCTGTGAGTGTTATGTACTTGTTGAATCAAAATAACACTTCCCACTGGTTTTTGATGACATTATGTAGTGATAGATAGATAGATAACTCTTTATTTGCACACATTTTGCAGGTATTATGGTACATAAAAATTTTAGACATGTAATGTACAAAGGGCGGCCTTATTGCTAAGAGCAATCTCTTCCAGGCAACCTTAGGATGGATTAAAATGTTTTGGAGAGACAGTAGTAGTTGAAGGTGCAATGGTAAAATTAAATAAATATTTACACATAAACACATATACAATATACATACATATACATATACTTATATATATACATATATATATAAATAGCTAGTTAAGTATATCACATAAAAGAGACGAAAAAAGAAAAGGAACGTTCTTATCGTGCCTTGACGCGTAATTGACTTAATCAAGGTTTATAAAATTCCTGAACCATTATCTTAAAGCTGTTTATCGTTTGCGCTTGCCTGATGTTTATCGGCAATGAATTCCACAAACGTGCAGCTTCAACAGTAAAAGATTGGTCGTAGAATTTTGTGGAATGCAGAGGCATCTCCAGCCCCAAATCCTCGGATGACCTCAGACATTTATCATGTGTGTTATTAAGGAACTTGAACCGTTCTGCGAGGTAAGGTCATATTTTCTTAACCCAAATACAAATCGTATGCAGAGATTTTGAAGTCGCTCAAGCTTATGAAGTTGTGCTTCAGTGAGATTCAGATAGCTGTTATCGGCATAGTCGAGAATTGAGAGGAGAAGCGCTTGTGCAAGTGCAGCCCTAGTGGCAGTTTTAAGAAAGTTTCGCAGGCTTCGCAGGGACCCGACAGAAGCAAATAACTTACGACTGACTTCTTGTATATGTGGACCCCGAAATAAAGTATTATCTATATAGATACCTAAATTTTTGACAACAGTACTGGGCCTCAATTCTGCTATTTTATGTTTACGCCAAGCCACTGTCAGACCACTGACTCGAGTGGCCATTGGCATCGGTATAAATATCGGTAGTTGGAAATATATTACGTTTTTTGAGGAAATGATTTATTTATTTTTATTATAATAAATTATTAAAAGAAATAAATAAATAATTAAAAAAATAAGATTATAAAAAAAAAGAAAAAAAAAATTAAATAAAAAGAATTTATTAAAATAAATAAAAATAAAATATAAAAAAATCATTTCCTTAGAAAACGTAATATATTTTCAAATTATAAGGAAATGATTGATTTATTTTAATGTTTTTTTTTGTTTTTTTATTTTAATAATTTATTTCGTTTTTTTATAATTTTAATTTTTTATTAATTTATTTATTTTTTTAATAATTTGTTATAAAAAATAAATAAATCATTTCCTCAAAAAACGTAATATACACGGTGATTTTGAAAGCGTTTTGGAAAAGAAAATTTTGAATTATTTATCAGTAACAGAAGCTATATATAACGTTAATTTGATAAAATATATATATTTTTTATAAGTCGATATTCAATCACACGTAGGTAAATACTACGAATAGAAATACTATGCGTTTTAATATCGAGTCACATAAAATCGTATTCGCCAAAGCTACCGAGTTGCGCCGGAGTCGTCCAACCAATGACGTCTGCCCCGTAGGCGCATGCGCAGGACTCACCTGTAATCGTCAGGCGTTCTTCGCTTCGGTCAGTAATACCGTAACATCGTGACGGCACGCTACATTGATTAGCGCTAAAATGAGTCGACAGTACGAATTTTCAAACGTGGAATTCTTCTTGGCAATGGTACAGCTGTACGCTACCGCCAACTACAACTTGGAAGAGGCTCGGCGTTTGTATTCCCAGCCGGAGCATTTAAATGCATTACGGCTACGTGGAATTGAAAGCCCTCAAATTCCTTCCACACCTACCATCTTGGCTGCAACCCAACGTCTTCTCGACCACGGACAATTTCGTGCGCCTACTCACGCGCAAGGTCAAGGACGTTTAAATTATTATTCGCCGGAGTGTAGTGCGTGCATACCTGGACAATGAGTTTAGTGATCGGTGGATAGGTCGAGGAGGGCCAGTGCCTTGGCCACCTAGAAGCCCGGACTTAACGCCCCTGGATTTTTTCTTATGGTCGGAAATAAAAAGACTTGTTTATACACGGGAATATGAAAGCCGTGATAATTTACGCATTGCGATAGTGGACGCTTTTGATAAAGTGAAAAGTGATAGAGACACATTAAGAAAATTAAAAAACAATTGCATTAAACGTGGACGTTTGTGTATTGAATGCGGCGGACTCCATTTTGAGCAGTTCCTTCGATACAGAGAAGTGTAAATAGGTATGTAAGTTAATTATTCTGTAGATAGCTCCGATTTTTTAAATACGCCTGAAATATTTATACCTACAGTCCGTTGATAAATTGATTTGTTGTGAAAAGAACAATCGTGGTTAATAATCGAAAAGAAGTTTAAATGAAATAGTTATTTCCGACGGTCCTAAGCCCGTGTAAAGGTATGAAGGACAAATCGGAGTCTATCTACGTAAGTACTCGCTAGCTCGCGCCTATAGGTATACTTTTATCAGCTGCTATTAGCGTCATCGGTGCGCAGCGGCCGCCGAAACGCCCACGGACGTGTTTCATTCATATAAGATAATGAATGAATGATCAGTCCATTACTACTTTCCAAGTCGATCGAGTAAAAATGAATTTTAAAACTGAAACTTTTTTTTAGACAACATTACAATTGATTTAATCATTTTTATTGGTACTATAGATGATGCCAAATTAAAATGTTTCGTTTCCAAAACGCCTATAAAATTACCGTGTGTTTTCAACTACCGATATTTATACTGATGCCAATGGCCACTCGATGGCATCTCAATAGCGTGTCAGTGGTATGACACTGGCTTGGCGTGAACATAAAATAGCAGAATTGAGGCCCTGATCTCAAGTATACTGCCATCGAATTGAATTAAGGGCAATTGTGTCCAGTTAATTCTTGAGACTAACCCAGGGCTACCAATTACACATACCTGCGTCTTTCCAGGATTAACTTTGAGTCCGTAATTATGACTCCATTCGCCAATGCGCAATACGTCACCATTGATTTTGTTGAATGCCTCCGATAACAAATTAAGTGTATATATTTGTAAGTCATCTGCATAAAGGTGGTAGAACGAACTTAATTGATTAGAGATGGAGTTTATAAAAACAGCGAAGAGAAAGGAGATAAAACGCCACCCAGTGATTAAGTTACAAAACAGAGTCCAGTAGAAAAAGCCAAGTCAAATAAAACGTATAAGATCCAAATCCAGTTCAAGGATGCCAGTGGTCAATTAAAGAAGATATTAAACAATAAGTCCAGTTATCCGCCTAAGTCACTAGATAGAGATTAAACAAAAGCACACGAACACACCGAAATTTCGAAAGCACAGATTAAGAGATATGTACGTGTTAGAGATATGTTCTTAATAGGGTAAAATACCCAGTAGTCAGCCTTTTAGTGAGTAATAAAATTTGATTAATTAGTAATTTAAATATTAAACACTATGAATAAAAACAATAATATTTCCTTAAAAGGTTGCTTATTAAATTTACTAAAGAAATCAACAAAATAATATATTTATGATAAAATTATAGAAAAAATAAACAATAAACAAATTATGGCACTTTTCCCCAGTGCTCAGCCTCATTTCTCCACAAGTCAGCCATGGCTTACCCTATAGTCAGCCTCTCACTTATTTCTACATATTGGGCATAGAAAATTCTTATTATATATATATTCATACGTATCTCCAGCGTATTCGGTGCATTTTAAATGGTACCACGCAGGGCAATATTTTTCAAATCGTTGATTTCGGTATCGCTAGTCATTTCCTCTTCACAATGATTGCATCTTATTCTGCTTATGGTACATGTCGTACTTTTCTTCTCCTTTTAACTTAGGTCGCAGAACGACCTCCGTCCTCCATAAGCGCAGGCCTGGGGGTGACAGGTGAGGCCACCTGCCATCCTAGCAGAAGCCGGCCGGGTTCGTTTTCACACGCGAGGGGCTCAATAAAAGTCGTGGATGGCCCGGGGTCCGTCGGGGTTCCAGGGATTCCTTCCTAGGGTACACCTGGTTCCCCGGCTACGGGTACCCGAGACGGCGTGCAGTTTTAGTCGGTTCGAATCCGACAAAAACTGCACAAAACTGACCGGCGGTTTGTATCCGAGGGGATTTCCGCACAGGAAAAAAAGGGGTGGAACCTTCATAGTAAGTATTAAATTATTGTGTGTGTGTGTGTGTGTGTGTGATAAAACACATATTATGTATACAATATTTACTATCGTAATAAGAAGTCATTAAAAAAACTAAGAACAAAATAAATTAAAATTCTGAAAATGGAACAACGTGGCTGAAATTTTCAATATAATTATCAGCCTCATATTCAATGTTAGCATCTGATTGTTCATAGCAAGTTGAATCAGTATTTTCCTTGTTATGGTTTTTTTGCGAAATAGTTGCATTTTCTAATTGTTCAATTTTAAATGAAATCAGAGCTCCTGCGCATCTTGCCTGATAAGAACATCTTTGAGCATAATTAACACGTTTACCCCTGACCAGTTTTTTCTATAACTCCATTAAATCTTTCCACAACATTGCTGTCTACGTCTTCAATTACAACAACTGTTTTAATTGTGCAACAACTGTTTTAATTTTTTGCCAAAGAAGACTGCCTAAAAATGGGTTTGTGGCATCAGCTAGACCCATATGGTTGCATAATTGGCGGTTACAAATTTCATGAATATCAAAAGCATGGAAAACAGACGTATTGATGTCTTTGTATAAACCATCTTCATTTTTTGTTTCTTTATGAAGCTTTGTAGCATCACAAATATATTTTCTTGTTTGCAATATCTTTTCTTGTGTTAATTTTTTCCTGTCTGCTGCAATATATTGCGTATTGGAGGCCAGTTGTTGCAGTTTATTACAGTAGTTCCTCAGCAAATGATTGCGACAGTAAATTTTTGCGACTGTAATGCCTGGATATGGGCGAGTATTTATTATTTTTGAATATGTACTACTATCGCCATCGGCGATGAATCTTGAATAAATCAATCCATGCATGTCAATAGATTGTTTGAATCCTTCGGTTATTATTGTTGACTCCATAGCAGTAGACGCACCATTGAAATTTTTGTAACAAGTTTGCTCATTTGGCGTTTCTTTTTTTGTCTCAGCTCGAACGCAAATGCAACAATATTTATTTTTGACGCACATATATGAAATGGCCGAATCGTCTACCAATTATGGCTGCAGCCCCTGATAATGCCGCATAATTAGTCCAGTAAAATCGCTTACACCAGCAGCCATTTACAATGACATCTACCTGCGGTATACCGTCTTTATTGACTCTCCCTTCCTTTATTGCAGCTTCTTTTTCTCTTTCGCCAGCCTGTTTCATCTCATCCCATGCAGTCTCTTCCCGGTCATCACAGATATCATTATACATTTTATTGTATGTGAAATCAGATATATTGGGTAAACCTACTCCAGACAAAAATTGACTGAGCTGTGCTTGACCACAACCAGCAGCCATAACTCCAGCAACGGCGTCTTTGTTTACATCAGCCAATGACGATTTTATTTTATTTTTGTAACCACACAATGAACAAACATATGTAAATTCAGATTGCAAGCCTACGCGATGTTCAGACTCTAATTTTAATGTGGCTAATCCACAATTAAACAAAGACTTGTGTTCGGAGAATTTTACAAGTTCTGTTACAAAATGGTTCACATCTATTATTCTATGGCCTATATCTTGTACCTCCCGCTGAATCTGAAACAAATATAAAAAATAAGTATCAATTTCGTGCATGGAATGTGATGGCGCGGGGGTCTATGTGTGGTGAGGAGAAATGTGAATACCTAAGTTACTTACTTAGGTATTAACATTACTTTTCTCTCAGATGTAACTTCGAGAGTTTTTCCTGGAGAAGTGCAATCAAACGAAGACTTGGTCTGAGAAATGTTTAAAATTTCTTTAAAAAATGGTTGACATTTTGTGTTTCTTTCTTAATCTGAAAAAAAATATTAATTTGAAATACTTAATTTATTTTCATTATGCTGTGATGGTTCAGTTCCGCATAGGTTCGTAGGTAGGTAGGAAGGACGTGCCCGCACGCGCTAATAACTAAGTGGAAATGTATTGTTGTGTACTAAGTAATAAGTGTAGTAATATACACGTATACGAACACGCAAAAGTTTTATTCTAATAGTGGTGAGTCTAGTGCCGCCTAAAACATTTCTCCGGCCTATAGATGTAAAGCCGGTTTAAAACCAATTCAACTACTCGGTTTAAAACCATTTTTTTCGCTTAAAACATTTTAAACCAAAATTTTTGGTTGAAAACTATGTTTTATTAATATGATCCCATTATTCATTATGTCATCAAGTTTCCCATACCCTGAAGAACCAAAACGTATTTTTTCAGGTTTATCAGATTTTTTTTAGGTGTATCATAACAAATCGATCGAGTAATAAAATCATATTTTAAGAGTTACTAGTGTTTAATCAGTTAAATAATAAAGTGACTGATAATTGTTTCTTTTGTTCTAATATATAATAATTTAGTATATATATAAATATAAATTTGGTACTAGAAACTACTGTCACAATGAAATCACAATCATTTTGAAAAGTGGCAATTTTGTGATATAGAATAATTAACTATAATGAAAATAATATTCGAAATATACTAAGAAGATAAAATCAATAATAATCAACAGTTAAATAGAATTATTTCAATAATATTAATTCAAAACTTCACAATAAAATCAACGTTCAAAAATTTCCTTAAGATCATGTAACAAGATATTGCTTCGTTCTTATTATTTTTGTATTTAAACAAGGGGATCAGTGTTACTTGTAGTCACATGTTCAATCTCGCCATCTTCACTATCCTCATCTTCAGAATCATTATATAAAATCTTCTCATCTTTCTTTTTCAATAAATTAAGATTCGACCTGATACTTATTAGTTTGAGAACTCTCGATTGTTTCAAGCGGTTTCTTAATTTTGTGTGTGTGTGAGCAAACATACTCCAGTTTCTTTCCGAAGCCGCAGATGATGGCGGTACACTTAAAATTTTTATAGCTATAGCACCAACACTTTGATTTAAGGTAAATGTTTGCCACCATATTCTGGGTTGTAGCTTCTTCGCTGGAGACCAAATAGGCTTTGATTCTTGAAAAAAATTCGTTTTTGTTTTAAACTCTGCCATGTTCGTCAGAACATTTGTTACATCTAAGCCGCTAGTCACACAGTATTCCTGAATGAATTCAGTTGCCTTTGAAATGTCTTCATCACTCAACCCGTTGCCGCAATGTCTCGGATCCAACAGATAGGCAGCAAAATGTATAGATTGCATGCAAAAATCTTTTCGACTGCTAACATGACCTAGTAGTAGATTTTTGTCTTCGGCATCTAAAAACACAGACTCATCCAATACCTGTGACAGGCCCTTTTTTAAATTTTCAAAAGTGTAATAAACATCAGAAAGTACAGATGTGTCTCTCTCTGTTGAAAGAATGGCCGTCGCAAGTGGCTGTAAAATTTACAATCTCGTCTAGCTTTACCCATATATCGGTATTCAAAATAATAGTTTTGATTTCTTGTGTGATTGTGACTTCATGCGATATAGCCAAAAGTTCCAATGCTTCCCTATTTTTTAAATACGATTCACTGGTTATATAGGCTCCACTCCATCGGGTCCTACAAAACAGTTTTAAGGTGCAAGTGCAATCTTTATTTCCATATTTTTCTGTCTGGTAGTTTTCGAACGCTGCCAATACGACGTGCGTCTGCTTGATATATTTAATAACCTGAATAATTTTATCCAATGTTGTTTTGAAAACATCAATTTCATTAATAACATCTTTATATATTAAATTTAGAGTGTGACTTACACAGCCAACGCAGAAAATATGAGGGAATTCACTCTTGATAATTCTCCACGCTGCTTTCATATTTCTGGCGTTGTCAGTAACAACCAATATAAATTTGGCAGGGCCGATTTCATTGATGATACTTATAATTTAACCGCCAATAAATTCACCCGTTTCTCTATTAGTTTCTGGGTATATTGCATGATAAAATATTGGTTCTGGGGTTGTTACAATAAAATTTATCACACCTTTACCATTAATTTTTGTCCAGCCGTCAACAATGAGAGCAAGAGCCAAAAAATTATTAATTTTAACAGTAATATCTTCTTTTATTCTTGAGTATTCGGCATCTAAAAGTATTGCTCAAGGCGTGTCTCGTCGGCATTTCATATGTCGGGTCGAATAGGTGAAATACATGTTTCCAGTGTTCTGATTCAAGCAGAGACAATGGCACACCACTAGCATATATTGCCCTAGCTAAAGCAACATTTATATCATCGTGATCCGGAGAAGTAGGATGAACGGACGAAGACACACTCGTATTTTCGTGACAACTTTGTGGGCTGTTAGCCTGTTGTGCGCTTAAAGAGAGTGATACGGTTGCTGCTGCCGGTGATGTGGAAACAGTCAACCTTTGAGGTGATTGTGATGTTGATGCGTTATCTTCTGGCTTGAACTTCATTTTCACCTCTTTAGGGCATTTTTTGCAACTTAAAATATGTAGTCTTAGTTTATTTGCCATTGCATATTTATATTGTGTAGAACAAAAGCAACAAACAACATGTTTTTTACCGTCACTATCATTTAGTGACAAAAAATGTTCCCACACGGCACTCGTAGGACGCGGCATAATAAAAAAAAAGACGAAGAGTAATCTCCACTTCACTTAAACAAAACAAACACGTCCACAACTGGTAGTTGCGCTATCTGAACTAACCGACTCTGCAATATCTGTGAGTACGATACGCGAGCGAGCGACGTACAGTCAAAATTGCAACGTCGCGCGCGTATACGCGACGTTGCCTCTTTGATCCTATTACGCTGGCGTATCGCCGCCTCTATCCTTAAGTTTAAGAAAAAACAGTCCGCGGCAGTATAAAAAAACACGAAGAGTGATCTCAACGTCACTAAAACAAACAAGTCCACTACAGGTGATTTTGATTACTATGTTACGTTATGTGAATACCGACTCTTCAATGCAAATTCTGTAACAACGCTACGTGCGAGATGCAACCAAAGTGGCAACGTTGCGCTTGCATACACGCGTGCGTGCTACGTTGACACTTTGATTGTATCTCTGAACTAACCGACTCTGCAATGCAAGGTTTGAGTCCATACGCGACGTTGCCACTTTGGTTATATTACACTCGCGTATCGCATTCGCAGATCTTGCTCACTTTGATTTTTCTATTCGTTGTTCAGAATTCGAAGAGGTTTTCTGCATATTCTTACTAAGAACAATTTTTTCATAAGTCGTGGAACGGACCTATTCTAAAAAGTTATGATTTTATAAATAATACTTAATGTTTATAAAATAATACGCTTAAATTAACAACTATTTTGTTCAAAATTTTAACATATTCTTTTATGGCGCAGTAGGGTATTCAACCGTTTAAAACGGTTTATTTGCGGTTTTAAACCGTTGATTATGGTTTTAAACCGCCTAATCTCCTATATACTTATCTATTGTGTTTTTATACATATAAACCGAGTACTTACTGGTGCCTCAGTAGGGCGTTCAACTGTCATTTCTATAGAAACGTTACCACTCGCGAACACTGTCTGCTTATCTGAAAAAAAAATTAGGGCTTAGTACTTCAGAGATAACATATTTCGACTAATATATAGCTTGGCACCGACTTCAAACAGACTAGAAGGGACTATTGGTATTATAATGTTACCTGTTACATTGAGGGTACTTATTATAGTTTTTTACTTAGATTTGTAATTATTTTTTAATTTTTAGTGCTCTTTGTCGGTGTTGTTTGAAGTCGGTTCAACTTTTTTTTTAAAAGTATTTATATTCTAATAAAACCGCTAAATAAATTCACGCAATGGGCAATGTGACAGTGTCAAGTGTGACAGAGCGTCTCAGCGGGGCGAGGATTGCATACGCACGTTAGCTTATAACTAAAGGACGTAAACGACAAAATGCTTTTTGTTATTTTATTTATTTTAATCTTAATGCACATATTGTACAAAGGCGGACTTAATGCCATTAGGAATTCTCTCCCAGTCAACCTTCAGGTGATGTAGAAATATGATGCGGTAGGTGCAAAATAAAATTTGAAATTTAACATATTTTAGGTCCAAAAACATACACAATATAAAATACACATACATAACCCTACATAAATTTAATAAAATATATAAATACTCAGTTGGGTACTAGCGCTGTAACTGTTCCGCCAATTCACCCCGAAGACGATCGCGCACTTTTCTCTTGAATGCAAGCCGATTTGTTGACATCCTGATTTCGCCAGGGAGGGCATTCCAGAGAAGAACTGACTGGACGTAGAAGGAGGAGTTGATGAAGTTGGAGGTATGAGGGGCATAGAAGAAGCATATTGTTGGTTGATCGAAGATTTCGATCGTGATTGGAGCATAGGAAACGGATGTGGGGTACGAGGTATTCAGGTAACGATGGAGAGTTGAGGAAAGAAAAGAGAGAAGTCAGTGCTCGTAAAGGGCGGCGCTGACGAATTGGGAGCCATTGCAGCTGGGAACGTAAAGCAGACACGTGGTCATACTTGCTACATATTTTAATTAGTTAGAAATGATAATTTGAGAAATTAATTCTACAATTTTAAAGAGTATGTATAGACTCGTCTACAGAGAAAGTTAAGAGGCTTAAATCGGTCCCGTTTGCTCATAAAATGTAAATCTCTTTTTAAAAAGATTTATGTTTGATATGTATGATGTGTTACAAAAGTTACCTAATCGTGTATTGTCTGAATCGTATATTTAACATCATGAACTATTCAGTTCACCAACTTATATTTTCATTCGTTTCGTAATTACTGACAAAAATTTAGATCACTGATGCCAAAATTTCTAATGCGTCCACTTAACAATTTTGAAAGCGTCACTACCTCTAGTTGAGTTTTCAGGTGAATTCAAACTTTCAGTTCCGGTCATATTTTTTGCTGCATTCAAAACATTAATAACAGTTGTTGTGTCTACTCCAGCACTTTCTAGCTCGTTACTTAGCTGATTAATACACTGATGGCGGTATTCAAATACCTGTTCTTAATTTTGATGCCTGGTGATTTCAAATTCTTGGTAGCGTTAAGATGTTTCTCAAGATTACTCTGAACACATTTTGAATAATCCAAAGCGTTTGGATTACATGGATATAATCCACATTTGCGAAAACCGTTGCTGATTGTGACAGATAAATTTTCTTTCACCTAAGACCTTTTTAAGTAATGGACAAAAAGTTGCCTTCGTCAAGACGCTGTTGATATTTTCAGGCTGAGTTGCCCATTCGCGCACTGTATTTTTCCATTCTACCTTCAAAGGTTTAAATACACTTACATCAGCAGGCTGAATCAAATGTGTCGCATTTGGTGGAAGTGCATAGAGGATAATACCGTTTTCGTAACAATATTCGCTGAGACGCATTGTTAAGTGGCTCTAATGGCCATCGACAAAAACGAGAACAGGTTTTTGTATATTTTCTTCTTCTACCCACTTGTTCAGACCTTTAACAATATAATCGTAAATAATCGTAAAATATGTCTGATTTCATCCAACCTGTTTCTGACTTTCCCAATAACCATCCTTCAGGCATACTGTTTATGACTTCCTTTGGTGGTCTTACATATGGAAAGACTACACAAGGAAAGACTACACAAGGAGGCAAAACTTTCCCAGAAGCCGAGGACATATATAACATATATATATAAATACGAGGACAGTAACAGCCTCTTTTTCTTTGCCTTTTACAATTTTGTAGACATTTTTGTATCCTCTTGGGGCAATGACTTTTCCAGTCTTGGGGCATATATGAAAACTTGTTTCATCACCGTTAAATATTCGGTCAGGGTCGGTCAAAATATTACTCGCATTTATGTCTTCTAAATGCTTTACAAGTTCAGCAAACCACTTGGGAATACCTTCTTCGGTTACAGCTGCTCGACCATTAGATATATTTTCGGGTGTCCTCTCACTTAACTCGGGATTTCGTCTCAGAAATGATTGATACCATTTTTTCCCCGGCCTATTATTTACAAATGGGTTTGGCCTATTATCTTCAGAAATAATATTATGAACGGTATTAAGGAGATCATCACATTTTAAAGGGAAGCCACATTTTGCTAAAGCTATACACCAGTATGTCAAGACAGTTTCTTCTGTTTTTGTCAGCACTGAATCTGGTCCCATTTTACGAGGTAAATCTGGTACCCTTAAATGTAGCCGATCTTGTAGTGTCCCCCGCGGAACGCTAAACACTCTACTGGCTTCCCTAATTTTCATCCCATTCCTCATCGCCGCCATAGCTTGTGATAATTGCTCTTCTTTGTATTGATGGATTGTTCTCTTTGACATGATGGAACTCCAAAACAAGTGATATTCATTATAAAATATCCCTGCAATATAATAAACTCTAATTAAAAAGGCTTCAAGGTGCTATTTAGTGCAACAGGACTGACGGCTGACTACTGGATTTGTAGACCCAATGGTCGGCCACTGACATGCATCACATTTGTATGCGGCTGACTACTGGTAAAATATACTTTTCGTCTTAGAAAAATTAAGTCCAAAGTAATGATCAAAATTGGGATTATTCGCTCCGTTAATTTTAAGTACAAGTGAGAGAATCACGAAAAAACCAGTAGACGGCCACTTATGTCTGAGCACTGGATCTACATAAAAAAATAGAAACCCAGTAGTCGGCCACCTAAATTACAACATATTAAACAAAAAACATGCACGTAACAGTTAATTTTATCGTAAAATAGACATTTTAATGTAAAACAATATGACAATCCACCACAAATAACAAGAAATATATATATAAATAAAATATCCATTTTTCAATGATTCAATTTTAGTTTTAATGCACTTTGTATCTGCAGCGGGATTGATTGCGTTGCATTTTTCGACCAATTTTTCGTATGCTTGTGCCTTTAAATCTTTATTAAGGTACAATTGCTTATCTTTGATTTTCCACAAACAAGGCAAAGACTTATAAAGCTCCATAATACTTGTCCCAAGTTCTTTATTTTCACTAAACTCCATTTCTGTGATCAAACTCATGTAGGTATAATACTTCGAGTTATGGAGGGTAGAGGTAAGGAGAACCATCTAATATGGGGGATCGGTTGAAAAAGTGTCCACCTGTAAATAGGCGCTAGTGTCGGAAAAGGGTGTCGGAAAAGGAAATGATATGAATTTAGCAGTTATATAAACACAGATAGTGATTCGATTGTTATAAACTTTTGTAGGTACATTTTTGTTATTTTTTAATAATTTAGGAGATATGCAGTATTTTAAACCTGAACTATTTACGTAGTCAAATGTAATTTAGTGAATATAACCTGTAAATATAAACTTTTGTAGGTACATTTTTGTTAATTGTAATTAAGTAATTTGTTTTTAAACTAGTGTAGAAGCAATGGGAAAGCTTCTTTCTTTCTTTAATCGGGCAGGTCTGTGCGTGTATGGCTAGCTAATATTCAATACATCTTCCCAGTGACGTTTTTTTACTATTCCGTAGTGAGTCTAAAATATTGTATAAGTATTAAGTGCTATTCAGTTTCAAAAGAAATGTTAGTTTCTTATGATCGTATTATTGCTTTTAAATAGATAACTATTAATTTTACCTGAATGCTGAATAACACTATTCCGAACATTTTTTATGAGATGGCAGAAGTCTGAAAACATAAATAGTGGGTTACACGGATGTTCACAAAATTCGAAATCTTCAGAAATTCCTAAAATATTCCAGGCTCCTCGGTTAGTTTGTGCTCCATCACTTGTTACAGCATCCACATGAAAATTAGCGTTTTCCATAAGAATGATACATTCCAAAATCAGTTGATGTAAAATTGAACTGCTAGTAGCATTCTTGGAAATGAAACTGGCCAAAGCTTGCACCCATCGACCACGGAATGGAACGTACATAAACACCAATGCATGGTCTCCAGCAACATTTATTTGGTGATTTGGACTGTGTCGTCCTAAATCTACAATCCAGTGAATTCCATTTTCTGCCTATCAAACGAAATTGCTGATGCAAGCTGCATTTCGTCAACAAGTAGAATTCCACGGCGATCTTCCACGTTCATACTCGATGCTTTTGTTCTTAAGCAATCAAAAAGAGCGGTTTGAAATCCAAAAGCCGACGCACTTATCTTTTGAATATATTTATTGAGTGTATCTTGGTGAGGGAGAGGTAGATCTCGCTCACAAATAAAATTGTAAGCATTACTGCTTTTCAATCTGAATAATATACACTCATATGTCCAAGACAAATCGTAACGGTGCATTTTATTATTATTTAGTTTAGCTGCATTAAAGCAAGTCAAACCTGTAAGTTACTGAGATTCTGGGAGCTCTGTAATTTTGCTTTTATTAATTTACTCGGAACGTTGAGCACACCCGTTCTGAACATTAGTAAATAATACAACAAAATTAATTCTAATTGAATTTGAAGTTAAATTTCAATGAAAAATATTCGATTATTTCTAAGTTCTTATATGCATTAATAACTCATTCTAATTTTGTAGAATTCATAATCAAAACGTATTTAAACTAAATTCAATGATTTTATTTGAAGTCATTCAGACATTATATAGAGTTGTGAAGGTAAATAATCAAATTTACACGACAGTAACAATTAATTTATCATTTATTTCATGTATAGTACATATCAGTATGCATACATATAACTTATATGTTACCAAGAACATAAAATTATACACAAAATTGACAATTATGACTAAAGTGTACAATCATCAACAGAATCAACAACATATCAGAAAAATCTAAAATATATTGGATTATAATAAAACTTAAAGTTAAAAACTTAACTTGAAGTCTTTCAATTAAAAATATCATGCTATAGACACTGTAGCTTACAGAAAAAGTGTAGCCAATATGCATCTTACAATACTATTAATGTTGCTTGAATGAAATAAGCCTATTTTTTAGTTACAATTTCGAAACAAAATTGCATACTCCTAAATAACAAGGTTTATTGGAATGACATTGTCATTCAAAAGAGTCCACCTTTCGCGAGGAATGATAGTTTCGGCTCCATGAATAATCAATCGATTAGCTTTTTTAATATCTTCTTCACGAAAGTGCTTCTCACACACAAACTGATTTGGAGTCAATTGTTGTGATAAAGCATTTGCCCATTTTTCCCTAAATACGTTACTCTGAAAGTGAATGAATAAATTTTGAGAATTTACTAACTTGCAAATCTTGTAATAGTGTATCCAATCGTTTATTTAACTTTTGACAGATCACACACATAAAGTTTTGTAATAATTTTGATACAATGTACTACAGGGAATACTGTACTTCATGGACGGGTACCGCCCACTTAGAGATGTATCAAAAACGGTTTTGAAATAAATCGATTATCGATTTCATTAATAAAGCATACAATAAAATTGTTGTGATTATATTTTATATCAAATCACGTAAAAACCTTTATTATTTTGCATTAAAATGCCCTAAATGTCTCTGTTTTAATGCATAAATAATTTGCGTAATGAAAACAGTTCCATCGTACTCGTACCTAGTAATGGGATCGAATGTATTCGCTGCAAATTAATGAATCTAAATTAATCGTTTAGACTTACGTAGTTGGTTCAAATAAAAAGCATGTGAATGAACTGCGGTACCTACTTGTAATGAACAGGTACATAATGTTGAAATTCATAGTACTTTAGGGATTCAAAAATAAAACAACCAAAAGAGGTACTGTAATACTATTTTTAATTATAAAGAATCGTCTTTTTCGTATGACCAGGAATCATCATCACTTGAGTTCTCAGTAATATTGATTATCAATTCTTGGACAGATAAATTGTCAAATGCAACATCCCAATCCGACATTATCACCTTTTTTGTTTTTTTTTACAACACTCGCCCAGTTTTCAGGAGTTACTTTTACACACGCATTTTTTAATAAATCCAACATTTTTCTTGCGGTGAAAGGAGGAGTTGTATTGTTCCTCGCAGCATATTCTTTAACTTGTGCCCAAATCGTTTCAATTGCATTATATTGGCAGTGATATGGGGGAATTCCGAGGACGGTATGCCCATGCTCTGCTGCCATTTCATCTATTACGTAACGTTTTTACGGCGTTCCTTTTCAAAGTATTCACGAAGTCGCAAGACAAACTCTCCTGTTTGTCCTTTAAGTACTTTATTTTTTGGCATTTTGACAGTAACGAAGGGAGGAACGATATGCTCAACTCAACCAAACGTGAGGATTAACAAATAAATCAATACGGAGGAATATACTCAACTCGACGTATGAAAATGTGGATTAACGTCCGGTGTTGCCGTTTAATAATCGATAAAATTACGAAATTATCGATAAAATAATGAGTGGCGCAGTGGTTTAAGCGGTCGCCACGCCGCTTCCTATTACCCCGAGTGTTGTGGGTTCAAACCCCACATGGGACAACACTTTGTGTGATCCACAAATTGTTGTTCTGAGTCTGGGTGTACTTTGTGTCCGTTTCATGTATGTTTGTAAAGTCCCCCGCGACACAGGATTTATTCCTAGTGCGGGAGTTGTCTTTTTTAAAAAAGAAAAAAGAAAAAAAGATTAAAACTTCTTCATGAATAAAATCATTCGATAAAATAAATCTAATCGGTAACGGGTCAGGGTATCACTATTTGATGAAGTATTAGAGCTGTCAAAAGTTAAATAAACGATTGGAAAGGGTATGGTAACCTTAATTTAATGAATTTTTGAAAAGTTTAATAAAGATTAATTTATTTAAAAAAAACTATTAAATAATAATGATAATTTGATTAAGCAAATAATAATTTTACACATTCAATATTTCAATGTGCAGCTATGAATTGATAACGTATGAAGATATTACCTTTGGTACCTACTTTAAATAACGATGATTGACGCAAATTGTTTTTCAGTCTATTTTTCCGATCAGATGCTAAACCACTTGCACATCCACCCACAATACAATATTTCACCATATTTTAATGTTCGTTTTTGTCAAAAATTTAAAAATTACGGAGCACGATTATTTTCTCACCAATGCCGCGAAGAAAATTTGTACATTATTCAACTAACTTCATCTACTTGTACTCATAAACAGCTAACTTCACAGATACTACTTACCGACGGCAACGCAGCTGGTGGCTGAAAAATGAACTATAAATTCTACAAGTTTTCCGGGACAGGCGCGCTAATGCTTTAGCACGTACACATCGACGATCGTTCTCCTTCTTTCTAACCTCCATGGATTTGACGCTGGAGTCTGTGACTAGCAGTGCTGCCAACCTAGTGGATTTTTTTAGTGGTTAAGTAGTAATAGTAACATTGTAGAGGACTTAGA